TGTTCATGCATCAAACATGCACAGTGCCCTAAAATGTTCAGGAGTGCTGCTCTGCATTTGTGAAAGAAGGGTTGAAGACTATGAAGTCATTTATAAATGCAAAGAATTTATTATAAATGGAGCATTAGTGAGGTTTGGGATAGAGCAGTGATGGGGGGGTGGAGATTGATTGTGGGAAGTAATGAGGTTTGAGAAGAGGTAGATAAAATGAGGGTCAAATGAGGATCGATGATCAGAGAGGTAGAAAGATGTTGTGCAGGGGAGCTCAGGGAGAGAGACTCAGTGTGGGGGTGATGACTTGATGAGGTGTTCTAGTTTTATAGCCCCCCCATGTGGTTCATGTAATGAGACGGAAGCAGGTGAGGAAGCACAGAGAAGCGGATTAGATGACTGAGGGATTTGAGAGGTAAGTGATCAAAAGAAAGTGGTTAGGCACAGGTTGGACAAGCTAGAGGATGGCTTTTTATTACATAGACTTCACAATTACTAGAAGAAGAAGAGGAAGACACTATATTAATCCCTTACTACTGTTTGTTTCCGTGACATGTTACATCCACATCAGCCAGGAATACACAAATACCCATGCATAAACACAATCCTATGGACATGCATTAATGTAGAGGTGGGTGATGATACAATAGGATTGTAATGATTTTAACTGAGGAGAATTCAGAAATGAATATTTGGTGGGCTCATTTCTTGAAGTGCTCTCTAAAAAAAATCAAGAGCCCAATCCAAATTTTCTTCGAATCATCATCTCATGCAGGGAAAGCCATTCAATTGTAGTGTGGGTTTACTTTCAACACAGGCACATCCCATTATACTTGATGAGATACTGAATTGATGATCTTGACAAGCTGTCAAACAAAATAAAGCAGCTTGAATCTTTATTCCAGAGTGGCATGAAGTCAATCAACAGCAAAGGTGAAAGACTGGTAGCATGCCAAGATGCATGAAAAATCTGGGTAGAAACAATAGTATACTATCTATTTATTAGTTTTTCGGGGGGGGGCTTTTGCCTTTAATTTAGATAGGACAGTGAATAGAGAAGGAAATCAGGAGGGGGGGATGACATGTGGGAACGGAGCCACGGGTCAGAATTGAACCCGCCTGCTTGGAGGGATGTAGACTCCATAAAAGGGGTGCGAACTAACATCACTATCATCGCCCCCAAGTATTCCGTGATTTAAAATGAATATCAACTTGTTTTCTTCTGATTTTCGCTTCCTGACAACTATACTGCAGCAGTTTTTTTTCTCAAGCTCTTACCTAAATAAAATACAGAAATAAGAAATTGTGAATTTTATTCAAACACAAACCTTTAGTAAAACTAAAGGGGAAAAAAAAACATGTTTGCAGTGGTACCTTGTTTTTTTTTTTCACCTTGATTTCCTACTTTTTTTTGTTACTCTATATTTTAACTTGATCACTCTTGGAGGAAATTCAAGTGCCAGGTTGCCCATATCTGCATACCTTGTGTTATCTTATTCACAGAGACCCTCATCATTAAAACGAATGGACTATCTGTGGAGCAGATCCCCCGAAACTAATTTCTAGAAGAGTTCCTCCTGCAGTGAAAAAACAGGGGATCAGAGCTGGTACTAATATACTCCTGTCTTACTAGATCTACTTAAGTATTAGCCACCAGTTAAAGAACGCCTATACTTGACACAACCATAATACTCAGGACTGGACCTGTAGTCTGATCCTTGTCCCTGCCTCATTTCCTTAAACCTGAGTGAATACCTAAAGTCTATCACAGGCACTTCATGGCAGAATTGGAATTTGTTCACATGTCATTCTGTTATTCTGCAGACTTTTTCCCTGTGGTTTTCCCTTCTGCGCCGTCTCAAAAGTTGAGCTTGACAGATGATTCATGATTGTGGAAACAGTGGTTGACAACACAATCTAAACTCAAGCTGCACTTTCTTGATTGATCTGGAGTTCTTCAGCCCAATCTCAAAGTCTTCTTCTTCAGTTTTATTCGGTCAAAAGCTCTGAGAAAAATGAAAAACTGGACATGGGAGGAAACTGCTGTGTCCAAGGTCAGAGTTATCTTTTCAAGCACATCCAAAAACAACAGTTGTGATTCTCCCCCATGCCTGTTTGTGCATCCTTCCTGTTTGTTAATGGATGCTGTTTTTTTTGGATGGACCATTTGTTTTTCATCCTTGAAGTACAAATCCTCACTGAATAAATTAATGGAACGCAGTGTTTCTTCATTTTGCCTTCCAAGAACACGATTAAACATCTTATTAATCCAATTTTTGACTTAAAAGACATGCTCTGTTACATTCACTGCCGTTGTAATCTTTGTTGCTGATGGAGATAAACACCACTGATACATCTGAGCTGAAAAAAAATCCCCTGCTGTATAAAACATGCAGCGCATTTTCTGCCTGAATCCCCCCGCTGAGTTCCTCTCATCGTTCACAGCAAAAGGATGGTGTCGCCATTAAAAATCTATAAACGGCTATTGATTCACTTTCAGACAGCTTCTTTTCAAATCACTTGTCAATGATTAAGAGAGGTGTGATGGTAATTTCGTTCTCATTCACACCAGTTCATTTGTTTCCACATGTTGTTGTAATTGTGTGCTGTAATTGATTTTTTTCTTTTTAAATCCATCTCTCCTTGAGGAGCGCTGGAGGGAACTAACATTGAATTGAAATGGAGAGGCTTTAATTGTGAAGCTTTGATGAGGATTGTGTCAAGCATTGAACACATGCTGTTGTGGGGGACTGTTTCAGTTATTGTCATGTGAAATCTAAATAATAATGAATCAGAAGCAGAGAAAAAAAAGAGGAAACAGATAAGATGAAGCTACTGCCAGCAGCTAGCTTAGCTTAGAAGAGAGGATGGAAATAACCTGGGAAGTGTTAGCATAGATCCCACTAAACATAACAACAACAACCGCCTTCCAGCAACTCTGACATTTACTTATTACAAATTGATACCTAGAGGGTTTATTTTTATGATTTCCTGGATTCTTATCATCACAGTAATGCTCTCCAGAAATCAGTAATGGCTCCAAGAAGCTCCTGCCAACAAATAGTCCACAAGGCAGAAACATCTAAGCCCAAAAGTTATTTTTACAGGAAGTTTTTGATTTGCTTAAACATGTGTCATATAACTTGTAAAGATTGGGCTTTGCAGTTGCCTCTAGACTGTATATTAAATGTTTAGGCTGACTGGTTTCCCCCCATATTTTCAGTCTTTGTGCTAAGCTAGGCTAACCAGCTGCCGTCTGGCCCCCCATGTCAACTTGTTATGCTTGTAGTGCTGCTTTTTTATTTCTTAGCTGTGTCATTTTATACAGAGCATTAAAGGAGCAACATCATGACCTGCTGATCAGAAGGGTGAATAAATCAGTGTCTTTTTGACACCCTCAAGCAGGGCTTATGTCAATGAGCCAAGTAGTCTGCCAAAATAGTTCAAATCTTTTGGCCAGCATTTTTCTTTCAAAGTGATTTGACACAAAATGATCTGTTTGTTGTACCTTTATTTTGTCTGCTATTCACAATTCATCTTCAATTCATTATCTGATCTGTGGTGTCATCATTTGGCTCATGGGCATTACAAATATAGGGAGCAGTGTTTCCCCTAGGTTTACAGCGTGGGGGGGGGGACACGCTGACACAAACGATGATTGATTTAAAGCTTTAAAAAAATAAACACTTATTGCAAACATGCAGTGTGTCAGTCAGTAAAGTCAGTGGCGTATTATATGTGCATGTGTGACCTATTGAAGTGTGGGATGTTGTGCAAAACAGAACAAAGACCAAAATGTGCAGATGATGGTTGGGATTAGTCCAGGTGGACTGAGAGAGAGCCAGAGCAACACTGGTGTTGGGCTTATTTCCCCTGAGAGCAAAATGAAATCATTTGTAACAGCAATGGTCACTGTACATCACATATAATCAATTAATCAATCTTAATTTATATAGCATCAATACATATCAACTATTATCTGAAGACACACCAAAAGCAGGTACCTACCTTACTCTATGTTATGTTATGTTATCTACAAAGACCCAATGTTAATCATGAGCACTGAGTAACACTTAGCAAAGTTACAGTGGCAAGAAAAAACTTCCTTAAAGAGCCAGAAACTTCGAGCAGAACCAGACTCATGATGAACAGACATCTGCTGATACTGTGTTGGGCTTGGAAAGAGGGATAGCGGGAGATTCAGGAGGAAGGCTAGGGACAATGCTTTATCCATTTTTCTTCTGTTAAAAAGTGTGTTGCAATGTGTTATTTTTTTTACCATACCAACACGTGTGACAACGTGTCTGCCAATTTAAGATGGAGATGTCAAATGACTGAAATCCTTCATCAGATTGAGACATTAGAGAACAATAAGTTACTTGAAACACAAAGAAAGTAGTCGTCTGGTTGGGTTTCTGCTCTGTACAACAGCTGGGGGACTAGAAATCCTGATTTTTGAGTCTTTCAATAAAACATGAAGCTCATGATATAGGAGTTTTATTTGTGGCATCAAACCGGAAAACAAAGGATTGAACAGGATACTGACATTGTACCAGACAGTGAAATTGTCGGGTATGTAGCTCTAATAGAAGAGATATGGAGAAGTAATCACAGTGATTGTCAATCTATTTGTAAGGATATACAAATCACTTTTTCGACTCTCCAGGCCAAGTACATGTCGCAGCTGAAACAAAGAATAAATCAATTGTATGGTACAAATAAAAAATTGAAAAATGAGCTATCTGTTGAGTAACAATCAATAGTCCTTAATGAATTCCTGTGACAGGTTTAAGTGCAAAGCTGCTCTCAGCAGAGGAAGTACAGAGAACAGTTGCATCTATAATTCAACAATATCAGTTTTAAAACACAGCCTAAAGTCGGAGCAGATGTTCGGATACTGTTGCTCTAAATAACCTGCAAACACATCTGATGTTTGATCAGGGTTTTATTTCCTCCACCTGTTCTTCTCTCACATTTATCTGTTGTGTTTCCCTCCCTCTCTCTGACAGGAGATCTTCCTGGTGGTGTTTTTCGGTGTAGAGTACCTCGTCCGCCTCTGGTCAGCTGGCTGCCGCAGTAAATACGTCGGCATCTGTGGCCGGCTACGCTATGCCAGGAAGCCAATCTCTATAATAGGTGGGAACACATCGCCCATACGCACTCATATCTGTGGCAAAGCAGACAAACACGTTTCACTCCCCACCCACACACATTATTCAAAACAGTATCAGTAAGCTTCATTCCAAAATGAAATATCTCAGACAAATTCAGCATGACATGAATACCATCACTGCTACACTTTAGCTTTTTATTGTTAAAATTGGAACATCCAGGTGTTTTTTTGGCTTTTGATATTATTTGGAGCCCTTCTCGGGTCAATACAATAAGAAACCTTTGAAATGAAAACTGATGAAAATGTCATGATAAAGCACCAGCTGCCCAATTTTTTAATATCTGCAATTGCTTCTTGGATTTTCCAAAGCTAATAATGAGGACTTCACTTGCAGTATTTCTTAACATCTGCATGATTCTGAAGTATTGACACAAAGCTAAAGTTGTTGCCTCTCTGTCTTTGCAGATCTGATTGTGGTTGTTGCATCTATTGTCGTGCTCTTAGTAGGCTCCAAAGGCCAGGTCTTTGCCACCTCTGCTATAAGGTAAGAGACGGTGTACAGGTGGGAATTATATCAGAAAAAACTATGGCCATCAGTCTTATCTATCCCATTCATACACATTCATTCAGTCACAAAGCAGCGGGAGCAATTTGGGGCTAGGGGATTTGCCCAAAGCTACATCAGACATGTGGCTGCAGGAGCTGGGGATTGAGCCCCCAACTTTCTGGTTGAGAGAAGACCGTCTCTACCACTGATCCGCTTGCTATGTAGGCATGGTATGGGACCTGTTTTTCATGGTTGAGGTAGAGGAGGCATGTAACATTATTTTAGACTAGAGTGCTCTTCTTATGTTGCAACATGTTCAGCCCTTTAGTAATTCAAAAGAGTCTAAACCTCCCATGCACAAATAAGAATCTTTTTTTTCTAGAACGTGTGGAAAGAGTTTGCCTGACCTGCACAGATCCCTCACCTTAACCCCTCTAAGCACCTTTGGGATGAATTTTTCAGCTGTGAATCAGGCCTTGACATCAAAGATAGACCTCACTAACACTCCTGTAGTTGAATGAGAGCAAATTCTGAACCGGGTCAATATTTCTCCTTTATGAAGCTTAACACTGGCAGATTGAACACCCATGGTTGTGGACTGGATAAAGTGTAATGTTTGGATGTCCAGCAGTGGTCATAAAAACACAGGCGTCCTTTTCTTACGTAGAAATACAAAATGAGTAGAAAAGACAGGCACATGTAGTAGCAATGATTTAACATCCTTACATAAGTGAAAAGGGGAACATACAGGCTGTGTCATATACTCAAGAGTATAAATGTAAACAGAAACCCTCTGAAGATCATTTTACTGACTGTTCCTGTGCAAGCTGATCGAACCCTACAGTTGTATTTAAATGTTTAATGAAATTAAAACATAAATTAAATTTAAATAAGAGAAAAGACACATATTCTACAAAACAGTAAATCTTTTTCTATTTGCAAATCAGTTGCAGTTATGTTTTTCTGCTCTGAGTCAGACCCTGATATCACATTTTCTCTGTGGCCATGTTCATTCTATAGTCCCTTTCATCTTCATATGTCTTCTGGGGTGTTTTCATAATTTTACATGTGCCTTGTGTGATACGCTTTGAAGAACAAGCCAAGGAATGTCATTTTCTGTATGTGTTATTGTCCCCTCTATGTAGGATGAAATACTAATTAATGTTGTGTAGAGGTCGCAGAGTGATTCAAATTAGAAATATTATAAACTCCCCTTGAAATGCATTACAGACTGTAACGCGGCCTTCATGAAAATGTAAGGAGTGAAATTAGCAGTTTGCTTTTAAAATGTAGGAGGTGACGTTAGAAAGTTGTTGGAAAAGTAATCCTCCTGGCAAAGTGCAAATACCCCAAAGCTTAAATTAAATACTTCTTTACTTCCCATTTCTGGTGCCCACTTAGCTTTTCCTTTCTTCAGTACAGTATATTCTAAGATGAATACCTACTGTATGCATTTGGTGTGAGTACAAGTCATTGAATCCTTTCTGTTATTTTCCAGAGGGATTCGCTTCCTGCAGATTCTGCGGATGCTCCATGTGGACCGGCAGGGAGGAACCTGGCGTCTCCTGGGCTCAGTTGTCTACATGCATCGACAGGTACGCATTCACAGCTTTTTAAAAAACATCACATAACAGGTCAAAAGTCATCAGGGCTGCTGATAATTACTATTAACAAGCCGGAGGCTTTCTCTCGGTGGATTTCGAGCGTCCCCTTGTCATGTAGTATTTTATGGTACAGTTTCCCCTCATGTGAATGCAAAGAATACTCTGCATAGCCAGAAGGAGAGGGACGCAGTGCAGTTTTGTTAGGGTCGTACACACCCCCCTCATGACTGCAGCCCCTCTGAAGTATCATTCAGTTGAGACACAGGTGGTCGTGATTACCCCCGCCGGCCCCTGTCATTCTCCTCCATGTCTGTGTAAAAACAGAGAGTGAAGGTGAACAGAGCATCAGAGAAGTTGCTGAGCCTGTACTGCCCGCTGTGCTTCCTTGTGTCGGCCTTGGCTGATGACCATATTGCTCCTGGCTGAAGCTGGTCATCAACACCCATTGACCTCAGCTGTAAGAAAAGTGACTGTCAGGGCAGGGTGGTAATGGAGGCCTTTCCCAAACTCATTCCTTCCTGCTATAGCTATGGGGTATCACGCTGCATGAAGTCACACTTATGACAACAGAGGTCAACTTCAGAGGGAGGATGGAAAATAAGCAGGAAACATCTGTCACCATGGATACTGATAGGCCATGTTCGCTCAGTATGCTGTTGTTATGTTTGTCACATAAGCCATGCTCATGTGCACAAGAAGTGTTGATTCATTTACTCTCAATATGTCAACAAAAATGTTGTTTAATATAAGACCTATGAAATACATTTAGATACAATCAAAGCCATGGTGGGAAGCAGTGTTCAACCTTTTTGCTATTACTAGGGATGTACCTAGTGACTTATTTCTTAATTGGTTAAATAGACGTTTTAATTCAGACTAGCAGACCTGTCTTAGGTTAGCACTTTTTAAGTATGTTGGGAGGGAGCATATCTTGTGGAGTTATTGTCATGATGAGCTGTGTCATGTTTCAGACCAATCAGGATCACAGCATCTGCTGGTAAACAATGTCAAGTTGATTTGCTGTTTGGGACTAATGTTAGCAGTGCTAGCACCACCAGACTTAGGTCCTGTGTCCATATGCCTGTCATGCATTGCTACGGTCTATATTCCAGTATATTGACAGATTCTACACACAACTTTATCTCCATTTTCTTGATCAAAATACTGCCAAACCATACTGCTTCTACAGGATCTATCTGTCCAGTGTGTTGGTTTACATCTGGGTAATAGAGCAAGGAGAGAAGGTCAAATAGCTGGTCTTTGGCTACAGCCCCACTTAGTGGCAGGGCGCTACACAGCTTGAGCACAACACTGAACCGACAGCGAAGGCCACCATATAATAAAATGAGACCAATTAGTAATTCTGCAGTCACCTAGCAAGGGTGACAGCATTTAATTGTTGGCTAGTCCGCCCAACCTTAGCTATGACCCCTTACAATTCCTTGTCTGCTGTTGACCCCTCAATATATGTTAAGGCTTGTAGTTGGCTGTTTGAATATTTTTTAAAGAATCTCTTTCTTGCGTCTTTTACCCTTCTGAGATTGCTTCAATTGATGTACTTGCTAAAGGCCCTAAGCAGTGATACTATTCATTATTTCAGGTGTAACAAGCACAAAAAGGAACAAAGCCAGAAGATTGAAAATGAATTAGGTAGACACATAATCCATTAGCTGTAATGCGTATCCTTAGATGGCAGAGTGGGGTTGAAGCTAATACCATACAGGCAATGTCCCTTTGCCTGTCCAGGGTAGACCTGAACATGCACCCAGTCAATCACAAAGCTGACGGTTAGAGACAGACAACCATTTACACTCCAATGGGAAACCAATTTGCAATTTAGATTTGCCACTTCACCTAACTAGAGGAAGGAAAGGAGGAGGTGTACAATCTAGTGAAAAGCCACGTACACACAAGGAGACATGCAAACTCTACACAGAAAGGCCACAGGGGTCCAGCAGGTTTTAACCTCTTTGCTTTGAGGCCACACTGCTAAACGCTGCCCCACTATGCCGCCTGTAGCCGAGACATGTATTTTTCTTCACCCAGCAATCATCTTCATAACCCTCTCCTAATGTTGACCACTAGGTTGGGGACCTGCTGTTTAGGCTACAAACAAAACCAAATATTATTTTACAGAGAAGTGGGATAGTGGAGAAGGAAAATATAGCATGTCATAGACTCTGTGGAGGTTAAAGAAGCCAGTTCTAGTCCAACCAAGTCAGTTTAAAAATGACCTTGATATGGCTGAGCTTCACAGAAATACTCAAATTGAAGCAAATTGAGGTGAGTTGGTGAGTGTGTTAGGTACAGAGTGAGATTGACATTGACAGGTGGCTTGGTCCTGATTTAGGCTTTAAAGGCTTCAGAGACTTCGATGTGTCAGTTAAAGGTAGCTTTTCTCAGAGCTTTGACCTTTTTTTGTCCTTTTTGCACTTTAGACTACTTTATAGGCTTCAAAGCAACATGTGAAATCCCTCCACGCCTCTAACAGCCGTGCACGGGGAAAATACAATCTGCTTTCACACAAGAAAGCATTACAGTAGAGGTCAAATAGCCGTCAACCAGCTGGACATCAGTGTGCAATACTTCCAGTATTTGTTCCTTGGTGATTTTGTTGATGTCGTTTCAGGACCTGAATACTTTATTCAGCCATTCTCCTACGCTCTCCTGTGTTAACAGCTGGAGTTTTTAAAGTCAATGGTCAATCGTTTACTGCAATCAGTAGCCGGTTTTTGTGTTGCAACTGCATCTAAATACACACTGAACAGCAGTCTAGTGATTGTGGCTTGTAAACACAATTTGCACAGTTTCTCCTTGCTGGCTTGCTGGCAGATTGGAAGCACACGTCTCGTGAATGTGTTTACCCGGTCACAGCAGCAGCATCTATATCTACTAAGCCTCTGGTAGTGGCTCTGGGAAGGTGTACTTGAATGCATGTTAAGCTGTTATATCCAGGAAATGTGCAAGATGTAAGTTAAAGGTGTTGCATGCTATCGTGCTCACTGCAGAAGTTGGATGCTCAAACTTTCATAAGAAATTGGGTAGTGGTATAACAGACACAGATTCTGAGCATCAATGCAAAAACTATTAGTATGGGGTAATGTAAGGATATGTTTATGATATTTCAAGGGAGGTGAACTATTCCCCGATCGTATTCTGCATTAATCTGCTGCTCCTGCTCCTCCGTGGCATCCTTAAAAGAAATTTGGGAGTGACAGTTTTGGGACGAGACATGAATGAGAATTTCACTCATCAGGAATTCAGTTGAGTGTGGTGCAACGGGTTCTCCAGCACTCTGAGTGGCTAAACACGGTTTAAAATCACAAAGTAGGAGAGTGCACATAGAGATCCTTCACTAAAAGAGATCATACACAAAGAAGGGTTGCGATGACGGCCTGATAGGATTATAGCCGAGCCCAATTAGACCTCCTGAGCAAAGCAAACCACAGACGGTCCCTGCTTCAATCTGCAATAAGATGCTTCATAAATATTTGAAATACACCAGGAGAGATCAGCTCTCTGGCTTTTTATACTGATTCATAATGATTTAGTCTTCATCTGAATTCAATCGATGTCCCCTTAGTGATTAGAGCTTATTTCTGAGAACGTTTTAAGCATAAACTCAGATGCACCAATGGTTCATTTTCAGATGAATGAAGCTTTAAGGTAAGCTTGAAAAAAAAAATAGGAGAGGGGATCAGTAGGACTGGGCTAAGGAAAAAGTCCACACTGAGAAAAAATGGAAAAATAGTCTCTTTAATGAAGACACAAGTGGTCAAAAATATCGGTGCTCACAATGCTACAGTAGCACTGATGAAAGTGAAGGATTGAAATATTTGCTGCTCTTTTTCTTGACCTTTTTGCACTATGAGCACCTATGTTTTTGACCACTCGTAATCTGTACTATTCTTGCATTTATCTCAGCCTGCTGACTTATTTGTGGCATTTTAGCCCAGTCGAACTGCTGTAGGAATATCTCCTCTGCCTTTTTTTTTTTTTTTTCCACTCGTACGGATTCAACCAAGTGTAATTTAACCCAATATATTTTTTGGGCCTTTTTTGCCTTTATTAGATTGGACAGCTGAAGAGAGACAGGAAATGTTGGGAGGAGAGAGTGGAGGATGACAAACAGCAAAGGGTCGAGGTCGCATTTGAACCCACGGCCACTGCGCTGAGGACTGTTGCCTGCTAGATGGTGCAGGGGTCATAACTGCTAACCTATAGGCGCTCCCAAATGTAACTTTTTTGATCCACCGAGCCGGCGCAGTTTCAGAGCATCCAGACTCATAAAGCATTAAGCTACAAATCGTTTTGTTGTTTCATTCACATCAGCTGTTTGAAAAGGAAAATTGGAAATGTTTGAATTATGGCGTTCCTGTCTTAATACAAGAAAACCATAAACGTTACATATTCAACAACAACAATAGACTTTGGAGACATCAAAACAGCACTTGAAAAGCTGTAAACATTTCAGTCTAATTGTAGTCAAGGACAAAAGGAAGTATGTTAATCAAGGCTAAAGGAAGTGATACTGACGATGACAGTGTTTATGATTACCGATACAGCTTTGCAGAGCGGGTGTCTGATCTGGTTTTGTTTATTAAAGCAGCACATCCCATCATAAATAATATTCTTGTGTTTTAAACACAGTTCAACAAAAGGGAACCCCAGATGAATTTAGCATATGGTCTTTAAAAAGAGACAATAAAGGCTGTAAAAAACAACAAGAACAGCCCATCAGGGAGTAGTTGACTTATGACTGCAAATTTTTGGATGGCTGAGTTGTTATTTTATCTACACTATGCTACATCCGGGATTTTTACTATATATAGCGCAGTGACAGTTTGAATAAAGCACACTCTATGAGTTCAGAATTAAATGATGTCTGACATTGTTACATCCCACCCAAGCGAAGGGAAAGACTGCATGTTTTATTCAAGTCCAAAATTAAAGCAAGTAAATGCCGATATTTGACATTTAATCTGTATGGAGGCGTTCAAAACTATGGAAGCCCTTATAGGACATGCATCAATATATTTGATTTGTCTCTGTTTTCCCTTGATAATGAGTAAGCTTTGGTGGTTGTTGTTTTTCTGGAGAGCTCACCCTATTTGTCCGGTTGTATTGGGATTACAAAGCTGGCTCCCATTGCAAATAGTTAATTTCAGTCTTTTTCTTGAGAAGTAAGCTTGTTATCACAGTAGAACCAGAGTCAGATATCTTAAGAAAGAAAAGTTTAGATCAAATGGAAATAACTTAATATCGTGGGAAAACTAAGTACAATGTTTGGATGTACTGTATGTCCACTATTATTTATGCTTTATCATAGAGCCAATGTTTTATCCTTGTAATGAGACAAACCTATCTGAGGTAAGAGCGGTTATCCTATTCAGCTATCTAGACTCCTGACTTTTAAGTTTGACTAAGCCCCTGTTCAAAAGCCTTTTACCATTGTTGTGAGAATGCTATTTCAAAGTTATTTGAAATTCTTATCAACGGCGCTAGAACATACTTCAAATCCAAAAACAAGAACAAGGCAGAATTTTTTTGTTTTTTCAAACTAAAATCAGGGGCGGTTGAAACCAAAAAGAGGAAAAGCAAAAACAAACAAATGCTTTGCAAAACATAAAAGAGTATGTGGCAGGGGGTCAGATGTGGGCTGGTATTAATGCTGCTATAATAATAATAATCAGAGGGGACGTGCAACGGGTGAGTGAGGTCTGTCACCACAGGAGAGTGAGGACACAGTCACACATTTCCAGATGCAGGGAGGCAGACCTGTGCCTGCTGTGGGCTAAAGTTTTACCTTGTCGTTCTGAATGTGAGCAGTGCCAAGTGAGGTCAGACACACACTTCTTCCCCTTCAGTTGAGGACACGACTTATCCTGTTTATAAGCTGTGTCCCAATTCAGGGGAAGCATCCTTCTAAGGACCTTGCATTCATGGCCTGCGTAGACCACTCAGGCCAAACTGATATGTCTGGTCTACAGATGATTTTCTGTTTGTGTCACCAGCTGTTACTGCCCTTAACCTTTCCTTACTAAGCCTACCTTCCATACAAATGGTTGACAAATGCTCCAGCTGTAGCCCAGCTGACTAAACGTTATGTAACTCAACCTGTTTTTATAAGCTAATAAGAAGTTTTCAGGCCTCTTCTGTTTTTTTTAAATATTTGTATCACTACCTATTGGATTGAGTTAAAATCAAAAACTTAGATTTTTAAATGTATTACACAGGTTTGACTTCTATCTTGAATACTTTTGGCACATGTCATTCCCCACTCTCTCGTCCCAGTGTCCTACTCTACCCACTGTCTTTCTCTACACATAAGGCTTACACTAAAATCCTCTTTTTTTAAAAGTGTCTTTTGAAGGATGCAGCCCCTGAATTGGGGCACCGCTCATAGTTAAAAAAAAGTTTAAAAGTTAAACTCCATGCAAAGCAGAGATGTGAATATGCCTTTGCCACCAGAAGCAAATGTTTTATTCACCCCTTAGCTTGCATGGATATGTGAGTGTGCCTCAATAGGGCAGAATTAATTAATGTAGGTATAAATAAAAGAACAGCAAGAATTCTCACTTTACTTTTTGTTTTGAGCCTTTTTTAGAATACAAAACAATATTTATCCGACCCCATTTGAAAAGATTTACCTGACCTAAAATATAAGATTGAACTTCAGCCTCAGAGCAGCATGCAGGACGTTAGAAAGTTTAAAGAAAAGGACAAAAGGGCATTGTAGGTTTTAGTTTTTACAGAAAATTAATGACAACTGAAAAAAATCCAGAATAATTCATGTCTTATTTTATAAAGTGATAAGTAGCCACTGAGCTTAAACTGTGTGAATCCATTTTAAGCTGTCAAGCCAAGACAGATAAACACTCATAAAAAGATTTCAATCATCACATTCATAGCAGATTTACATGAATATTCACACCCATATGTCCTATCATTTGCAAAGTCAGCCACACTAAACTCCAGGCAGATAAATGATCGACTGATAATATGACAATAAGCAAGGATTGTATAAGAAAGTCCATATAGATTCACACATTTCCAATCAAATTGTCTAACAATTTATTTTAAGATAAGTTGTGGTTGTTTTTGTATTTTCAATGTGTAATGTTTGTGTGCATTTCAGGAGCTGATCACGACCTTGTACATTGGATTTCTGAGCCTGATCTTTGCCTCGTACTTTGTCTACCTGGCAGAGAAAGAAGCAAATGAGAGTTTTGAAAACTACGCTGATGCCCTGTGGTGGGGAGTGGTAAGTGGTCCTGTGTGTGTGTGTGTGTGTGTGTGTGTGTGTGTGTGATCATGTAATGGTTGTGCAAGGTGGCTTGATCAAAGGTCGAACGGTTTTCATCATTTTTATGTTGTACACAAAAACCAAGGGATGTACACACAACAATGGCGCCAAAATGGCTCGTCATTTGGTACCATTTTGGCCATATTAAATCAACCAAATTTGGCAATATTTTAACCTATGACTGATATGTGTGCCTGTATTTTACTGAAATTATTCATTGAATGTATACTAATCTGTATAATTCCAATAATAACAAAATTTGGGCCTGTGATCAAATGGTGCGGCGAAAAAGCCTTTGCATGCAAAAGTATCCTCCTGCTTCTAGTCTCTATGCTAAGCTAAGCTAGCCACCTGCTGAGTGTGAAGGTCTGACATTAGATTGATGGCTCCTTCTACACTCACCCCCTCCCCTCTGTGCTGCTTCAAAAGCCACGCCCCCCTTACTTACATGCACGAGCGCCGTTGCTCCATAAGCGGACCTCAGCTCATTGCTTTCGTTGTGTAGAAACTACGTCGTCTCATGTCTCATTCTGCGGTAAGTAAACACTAAACTTTTTCATAATGCATGTAAAAAAACAAAACATGACTATTTTACTACTCACAACGACCAACGACAAACTCAGAGTATAAACTCTGTCATCTGTGATGCGTTTTGAGCGAGGGCTAGTGTACACAAGGCGTGATTGGTTCATCAGATTGGTACCTCGTGGCAGACATTGGTCGAAGTTTTTACAGGCTAACAACTTCTACAGATCACAGATTTTCGTCGTTCCTTTTTCAGACTTCACATGAGTTATTCATTTCTGTCAGGACCTAAAGACAATTTCAACCAAAATCTTCGTAAGTGTAATCTATCTGAAGAAAATTACCAACCCTGCCTTTAAGTAATGTAATCTTTTAATTATTCATTTAATTTGTGTAACTGATCTAAGATTCTTAATTGTTGTTCTAAATAGCCATCACCTTGAAATGTTTGTGATCACATCTGATCGGAGACACAGAGATCTGTTACACGTTAGCGCTACCATTGACAAAGAATTTAATTGCATTGTCTTTTAAAGAGAGTTGTAATGACTCATCCTCTAAACATTGTTTTACCGACTTCTCCAGCTTGCCAAAAGTCAGGTTTTGCAGAATACACTGACTCTTTACAAACAGTTTTTTGAAAGTGAAAGGTCGAATATAGACTCTGTTTTATCTGTACTACTGTTGTTACAGTAGGAGTAGTGTGAAAACCCTTGGGCACATCCAGTGGGCCGCTAATACAAACAGAAAAAAAACAAGTAGTGGAGAATATGGGATGAAATTTTATTTTCAGACAATAAGTCACCGCCCACACTGCTTCTTGGAAACTTCTGGGACTCTGATATTAAAAAACCATACGCACACACAGTAGAGTTATTACAACTGCTCTCGTATGTGAAGGATTACTTACTGTGCTGAAGCATTATTTACCCTGAGTTTTAGTAGGTCAGGGTCCACACTCTTAAAGTCACAACCTGTACTGTGAACCCTCTACATGAGGATGCAAATGACGGTCAGAGAAATGCAATGGTCGAAGGGAAAGAGCTCTACAGTTAAAACTCAAAGTACATTGATCGTACCTAACCATAGCTGTTTGGTAAGTCTTTGAGGTGAAGTCTAAGTCAAATCACAAACATGTTAACAGAGCATTATCCCCAGAAAAATATCACCTTGATTGAGTACGTCATTGTTGCTTGCACAAGGCAAGAAATTGTGTTCAGCTGTCCACTATTGCAGCATACATAATTGCATCTACAGAATAGAATGTATGAATCATTAAATATATAGATAGTTGAATAATCACAAACTCACATTTGCAATTATGTAGAATAATGTTTGGGAAACTACTCTTAATCTGAAAGAGAAGTCTTTTATTGACCCAACAAATGCAAAAAGAAAGAGGCAATTTAATATTCAAAATTTTCTTGAAAAGTCGGGCCACGCCCACTCTACCAATGTATATTTTAGTTAAGCCAGCTTAACTAAAGCAACATAATGAAGGGATTAGGTTTATAGCCTTTACGGCCATAGTAACAGATCATTGTGCATCAATTTGTAACATGTAATATTTTTTGCTGTGTTTTGGATATTTAACTGTTTTCTTTTTAGCACATTTTTTTTCTTACTCGCTTTTATTTGTGTCCCCACTTTTATGCTGTGAGCTTGACGTCACTGTAGATGAGGGAAACCTCAGTGTCTTTCGAGGTAAAATATTTACTCTAGTCCAGCTTCTTGCTCGGCCACTCCTTTTCTCCATTAGTTATTTATCATTATCCTCTTCCATATCTTAGCCTCAGCCATTGAAACAAAAAGAACTTAGACAGACCAACTTCATTCTAGCTGAAGGCTGGTGTGTGAACAATAGTGCAGTAAAGCCGTACGCACTTATTGAGATAGAACCTTAGCCCTCTGCCAGAGTTACATATTGCTGAAAACAGGTGGCCGGGGCGCTCTGTGGAAATGCTGTAGACATTAAAGATGGTATAGATAGAAAATAATCACTGTTCATTAAACATGAAAATATGAGATTGTACGTCAACACTTAAAGTTATTGCACTTCCATTTGCAACAGCAATTAAATGGTGAATAAACTTTCACCAATTAAAAGCATTTTTTCCTTCACTGCAACATTTACCCTCACACACACATTCATTAACTAACAGCAGACTGCTATGTGCCACACATTGATGGCTATGCCTTCGGGAGCAATTTGGGGTTCAGTGTTGCCCAAGGACACTTCAACACTCGGGCTGCAGGAGCTCAGCATCGTTCCGCCAATCATCCTCAACCTATTAGAAGCCGACCCAGTCTGCTGTGGAGCCACAGCTGCTCCAGTTTGGAATTTGCTGTTGAGGGGGTGGAGGGTTGGGGTATTTCTTGATGTTTATGGCCTGTTTGTTGGAATGGATTTCTCTCAGGTTTGGGAGAGGGAAGCATTCCATCTATACTAAGCTGTTGCTTATCAGTGCAGTATTTTCAGTCAGCAGCACTGCAGCTACAGTAGACCAGACTGTACAGCAGTGTGTCCTGATACTCTCTGAAGTGCAGCGGTAGAAATTCATCAGCAGTTTTTGGAGGAGTCTGTTGCACCTCAGGCTCCTTGGTAAAAAAAAAAAAAAAAAAAAAAAAAACAGGCGCTGCTGGGTCTACTACACCAGAAGGAAGGTGTTCAGCCTCTGGGTTATGTCCCCAGAAATGAGGACTCAAAGGAAATTGTGACTTGCAACCCAATCTACCCCCCTCCCTCTTACAGTAGCATTTCAACTTTTTTCCTTTTGAACCTGTGTGACTATTGTTCCAAAATATCCTTTCAGTGTTTTTAATTTGCCACGCTATTGACTTGACTTTTCTGAGGGCAACATCAGCCGTTCAGTCAATCCATCATTTGGTCTCGACTGAAGTAACCAATTGATGGATTGCCATTAAACTTGTACATAACATTTATATTGCCTCAAAGGTGAAGTCTAGTCTGCTTACTTTGGTTGCCTCCAGACTTTCCGTAATAGCACCATCAATCAATCAATCAATCCATCAACTTTTATTTATAAAGTGACAAATCGTAACAAAAGTTATCTCAGGACACAAAAAGACCAGCAGAGCCTTATTAATGTCTGCAGTTTTGCCTTCTTTTAGCATTCAACATTTCAAATTCTTCCCCGACTCAATCAGCAGCGTTCGTTCAGCTGTTTGATTGTCTTTTCATCCGTCCATTCATTTGGGCTTCTTATAAACCTTGGGTGCGTGCACAAAGCGAGGCTATGCAAGCCGGCCTTGATTAAATAAAGTCGGATTGTGTTCATGGAACGACTTGAGGCTGGATTGGGAGATGACGTTACTTTCATTCTGACTTTTTCAGGTGAGCCTGGCTTTCTTAAGCTATGTTGATGGAATACCGCCGAGGTCTATATTGTACTGTTTGTTATATTACTTAAAGAGACCCAACTGGAGCCCAACATGGGCAAACACAACATTTGGTAACAGCGGCAAGAAAAGACGTCCTCTTGACCGGCAGAACCAAGCAAAAAGCCATCATCTGTTGACATGTGTCAGAAGCTTCCTTACAGAAGTGTTAGTTTGCACACCATGATACATGAAGCTAATGTTATAGTATGAGCTTTATACATGCCAGAAATAGTTGTTGTTTTCCTCCTTGTGTTTTCTCAAAAGGTGACAGTGACTACCATTGGATATGGAGACATAATTCCAATGACCTGGATCGGAAGGAGCATTGCATCCTGTTTCTCAGTCTTTGCCATTTCCTTCTTTGCTCTGCCTGCAGTAAGTGGAACGAGAGATTTAAGATGCAGAACATATTTTTGGTTTGGGTCAGTTTTAAATCCTCAAATCCTCAAAATCATCTCTATTGCTTCCTTCCACATGAATATTGCCAATTGAGAAGTAAATTCCTGATAGAATAATAGTTTTGAAAATCTAACTATTTCCTTCAGATGAATTTGCACCGTAATGAATATTTAATTAAGTCTTTCAAGTGTCTAAGAAAACACGGGAGTGTCTGATTTAGGCTTAAGTGTATGTATGATTTATGTGTCAACCACAAATGTATTTATCAAAGCTGGTTTTGACATGCTCTACCAGCCACAGCGAGGACTTACAAGGGTTTAAGATTAGATAACAGAGAGCTGAGAGTTTCATACATTCTTTCTTAATCCTGTGCATTAAGTGCTGTAAGGACCTTGACAAGACATACAATGGGTTTGCATTTGTACTACAGATCTCTTGCAAGGTTTTTTACTAAAGCAAAATACATTCCCATTCAGCGGCTCATTTCTTCTGTGAATGTCTGAGGACAGTCTCCTCGCATATTTCAGATCTTATAACAACTATCTGGTTAATTAATGGATGTTAAATAATCATAATGGCACAAATGAAATGTGTATCAATCAGTTTTCAATTTAAAGTGAAATGAAACTCAGAAAAGCAAAGGTCCTCATATTTTACAAAATGTTGCCGACAAAGAAACCCATCTTTAGCCGTGAAAAAGACTCAGTGATTACATGAAATGTATTACTTTGAGTTAATGAACACGCTGAGTAATAGACTTTAATGTTTCAGCAGCGCATATTCCCATCATTTTTGGTTAACTTTGTGTTCATTTCTGTCTCCACCGCCTCTAAGTGTGTCGTTAAAACTGAATTAATGAGCAGTAACTGTGCTGTGCTGTTTTTCACAGGGAATCTTAGGCTCAGGCTTCGCCCTCAAGGTGCAGCAGAAGCAAAGACAGAAACACTTCAATAGGCAGATCCCTGCAGCTGCCTGTCTCATTCAGGTATTTGTCCACAAAAAAAAAACCACACAAACAGAAACGCAACACAGCCGGGGGGACTGAAGTGTCTGGCAGTCCCAGCCTTATTATTGAGCCCATCCTTTCATGTAACCCTTACTCTCTTCCCTGCATGGCAGTCGAGTCTGTGTGAAATTTGTCCTGTCCAACCAATATATTGCTTTTTCATGCCCCACCAGACAGCGTGGAGATGTTTTGCTGTGGAGAACTTGGATTCTGCCACATTCAAGATGTTTTTGAGGAAGAAATCCAGCTTCCCCACCTCCGCTCTGTTCACCCAGAATCCCAAGAAATCGGTTAGTAATTATTTGAAAGATTTAACTATGACTGCTTCTCGTATTCAGGTTCCAGTTTATCGTATACACCGAGGTGAAAACCAATGTTGTATGAAGCAACAGGACTGCAACACTGTTTTTAATTCTGCATTCATGAAGGTTGCAACATTCTTCTTTTATTTAAAGGAAGTTTTGATTTAGTTTGATGCAGTAAAGAACAGGAACTATCCTGCAGAGAAACCCTTCAGGGACTAGAATCTACTCTTTAATGTTTCTATCACGGTATAAGATTAGAAAAAAAAATATATATATATATATATATATATTTTTTTTTTTTTTTTTTTTTGAAGAAAAGTAAAGATATGCAACCAAGACAAAAGCCAGCAGAAAAATATAAAATTAATATTAATTATTCAGTATTTCTGAACAGACCAGAACAGACCATGCCAACACTCATGTATACAATGTTTGCATGGAAGAAGCTCTCCCTGGAGACTTTGCAAAATAACAGGCACACAGCGAAGTCACATTTAAAGTGTGAACAATCTTCAGACAATCGGGTCAGCATACTGTCTAGACTTGCCCTTTCACATACACAGATTTGAGATCATTCTTAACTATTTAAAAGTCTTGTCTGGGTAGAGTCTGCTGGAGGAGAAGGAAGAGGAGGGACTCCTCATAAAGAGGGGGATGTTTTTGTATTGCTATCACTACAACATATCTGCAAAATATATGAGTACAGTCAACTCAGGAGAGCAGAAAAGACACTACAGCAGCAAAACTCTGTGTAATATGAATGACTTCATGCATTCAACTACCCACTAGCTGTGAATGTCCCAAACTCAATTTTAAATACTAAACTGACTTATGCTAGTACAGCGCAGGTCACACCATCCACACCCATTCACACACTGATGGAAGAGTGTCCATCAATATGAACAAATTCAAACACATTCATTGTTAAGAATTCACACACATTCATACAACATCAACACAGCGGAAGCAATTTGGGGTCAAGTGTCTTGCCCAAGGACACATCAGACGTGTAGCTGCAAGAGCTGGGGATCAAACCCCCCTGCCTTCCGGTTGAGAGAAGCTTGACTCTACCAACTGAGCCACAGCTGCCCTATTACCCGCTGTATTCACAGATTAGCTCATCCAGACATGAGACGATCTTTGCACAAGTCAGGGGATCTGGATGTCTGCATTTTCACATGTAGATATGTCTGCACATTTTCAGGAGTGCGGTGAATGTCTGAAAGGAGCTTATGACTATCACAGTAATAATAACTTCTCTACTGCTGCACGCAGACCCTCAATCAAACCATTAATCATTGCTTATAGATGCATCTGGCAACAAAAATAGAGAAGTACATCAATCACAACTCCTTTATTGTGTTATTGACTCTATTAACACATTAAATATGCAACCACAGACAGTTAGCTTATTAACTTCGATGTTTAGGTCATATAAGGCGAGGCAAGGCAAGTTTATTTATATTAGCACAACAAGGCAACTCAAAGTACTTCATGTTGAAGGAGAGCTGATAGGTTGACATTTCTTTGTATGTCTGCATGTTTAAAATGACAACTCTCTTCACATTTTGACTTAAACATTAGGAGAACATCATTTTGATTATCTTTCACTCTGGTGCCATGCCAATAAGGACATTTATTCATAGGAACACTTTTCAATTTCTTGTGGAGGTGAAGAATAGGAAGATGTTGAAGAGCACCAACAACGGCCCTGCTGCCACAGCTCCCAGCATCACCTACGACTCTGCGTTCGATAGTGGGAGGGAGCTGAGCTCTGACGTTTACAGCACTGTGGGGACAGGTAAAAACAAGACTAACTGTGTTCCAGTTAACTTTAACCAGTGCAAAAAAAAAAAAGATGTTATTTACAACACCACACTGTATTTAACAACAGACTTGCGCAGTGGCCTGGATTTTACAATGAGCAAGATCATAAAAAGTCTTTGAACGAGAAAATGTACCGTAAAGTCCTGTGTAAAAAACACACTTTTAATACCTATTTTTTCCTCTAAAAGGTTGGCTGCATCTTATACATCGGTGCGACCAATATAACAATGTGAAATAGTATGAAAGCAGATAGACAGGCTGTCCTTACCGAGAGTGCAGCTGTCACCATCACACACTGCAGGCGTGGTGAGGCTTGCAGTGTGTGATGGTGGCTGGTTGCACGCTGCGCTGGGAAAGATAGCGACTCAGACCAGTCTGTCTGCGCTACTTTATAACATTTTTTCTCCCTCCCTTATGCATTTAAAGCAAACAGTGGTATATTTTTCAGTGAATAAAACTTGTGGAGTGCTCTTCTGATTGAAAGATTCCTGTATTAAAGTTAACGAGTGACCAGCTGAGTCAGGCAGTGTGACTACGGGGCTGTCGGTACTAACTAACTTTCACCGTAGGCTGAGAGCTCAACTACCGTACTGTAGCTAGTAAAAGAGCAAACTCCACAAAGTGAAAACAGATGGTACTAAAATAGCGACACAGCTGTACACAATGCATGCTGTAGACTTTGCTGAACACAAGAGAAATCATCATTCAGGTAGAAAGTTTCAACATTTTTTTCCTTCTGGGAGAGCTCTGAAATCAGACTGCGTCTTGTAAACTGTTGCGATTTATATTCTGGATTTTACATTAAATGTTAAACTCTGTGAATTGTAAATGGGATTTAAACATTGAAATTCAGTTGTAAAGTGAGTGAAATCAGGTCAATCCAGCTAAGGCCTCTTTTCAAGCATATTTCAATTGGCTAAAATGGTTATAACATCAATGTGTCACAAACACAATTATGTTTCACAACATTGAGAAGTTCATTTTAGCACTGAAAGAGTCAACAGACATGAAGTCTTTTTGCAGTGGGGTGTGAAATCCCATCTGTGCAATGAAAGAATTTCAACCCATTCGGTTTTTCACACAAAGCAAACCTTAATATGCCTTTCCATGAGCTGTATGATGTAATCAACAAGGTTCAGAGACATCCTTAAGTCAGCAGTTATGAACATCCCCCACAGAAGGTGACTAAAGAAGATGCAAAACTTAAGCTGTACACCTCTGACTCCATAAAGACCCCTGGGTGCTGATGTCGTTTTTAAATACAGTACTGGACAGGAGGTGACTGTTATATAAATGTCAATGGCAAACGTTGGAGAGTTAAGACTTGGATGCAGGCAGTCATGAGCTAAAAACTAGTTCTACTCCTGTGTTCATGTTTTTCATTGGTGACTGGGATGTACTGGTCACTTACACCATCATTTAAGCCACTATAAATATGAGATACAGCTCGAAAATGGCCGCATGTGAATGAATGAGGAGTCTTGTGACAGAAGCAGAATCTAGAATCAAGAATCAAGATCTAGTTGAAACAAAGCAGTTTAATTGACATGTTCAAATTGCCGGGAAAAACCTTTTTAACCAGTTTTGAACATTTTTAAAGGCTTTATATTTTTCAAACTTTAAATGTTGGACACTGATGTTTTTTAAACATCTTTTCAAATGCAAAAATGCTCTCTGGTTAGTTTCTGAGGTATATAATTGGTTAAATAAAAATCAGAATAAGCATTCAAGAGTGACATTCAAGGTACACGTACTAGTAAGCATGGAAAATAAATGTCTAATGCCTCCTGTGCTATAGCCACACAGTCAGTGGTGGTACGGTAAAAGGAAATCTTTGATTTGAGCGGCCGTTTGGGGTTGAAACCACATGAGGCGGAGACGACAAAGTCCAAACATTAAAGATGGACCATTAAAGATGGATGAGCACATTGCAGCGATAAAACGTGAGGTTGCATTGATGAGCGTCAACTCCAGCAGTGCATGGCCGAACTTACAAAACATTCAGGGCTTCTAGATCAATAGTGGTGGCCTGAGAGTGATATTCAGAGGCAATTCAAACCACATCCTTTGTATCCTTCCAGTTTCATTTAAGTCAGCCTGTGTGTTGTGCAATTCCACATTTCCCCGTCAATTCACTTTGAATTTTTTGAATTTTGTCGAATGTCTTTGCCTTCAGTGCAGTCACGGTTCTGCACACAGAGAAGCAGGCTCAAAAGCAGGACTCGCAGGCAGTTGAAAGCAATCAGTCATTTATGTGGTTAAAAGTTCAAGGCAGAGTTCGGCAAAAGGCTATCAGTCAGCAACAAAGCAGGCGAGAGCAAAGCAGGCAGAACCGAGCTGCGATCAAAAAACAGGGAGGCAGGAAAATTATAAATAAGCGCTGTATAACTAAAGTCAAGGCTCAGACTGCAGGAATTCTGTCAGCCAAGTTACCCTGATTCACCCTTCCAAACAATGAGGGAAGAAATCTGATCAGGTACCTTGGTTAGTATTGATGTTTGGCCCAGAATATCTTGTAGTTTGAGGGGGCTTACAGATCCAGTCTAAACCCCCTTGAACTGCTAATAGAGTTATTGAAGACACCCATATTATTCCAAAGTGTTTCATATTAAGATTTCATATCTGGATGATTGTATAAGAACTTTCAAAGCTGCGACAGAAAAGCACATAACAGGAAAACTAATGAGAAGAAGCAGCAGCAGTTAACAGTATTTCCAGGCAACTGCTAACATTCAAGTGCCTGGGACCAACATCACAAGCAATAGAAATAGAAAGCCTTTATTGGCATAATACAACTGTACATGAAATTAGATATGCTTCACCTTAAAGTGTGCAAACATACAGGCATCCACAACTACAAAAAAAACATGCATTAAAGATATTAGAACTGACAGAATGTCCCCCACACGTCTTCCTGAAAATGATAATTGCTTTTTCCCAATCTTTTGTTCCAGCTAGTCTCTCATAATCTTGATCTCAGAATTGTGTAAACATTTTGAAAGTCTTGTAGTCTGACTAAATTGCTGTGTAGAGGTCTGGTATATATGCAGATGAACTACAGTAATGTGAGAATGGGGAATAAGTGAACTAGTTGATGAGGGGGTGAGGTCACTTACAAGGCAAGTCGATGACAGCAGTTAAAATAATATACTGAAAAATAAGCCAAAATCATGAAGTGCTTTAATTAATATACACTTCCAAGAATTTTCCACTATCCTTTGACTTTCGTCAGCAGGTTAAGTAATGCCTTACTAGAGTTTAATATCTTAAAGGCATTATATGCAGCGTTCTAAAAGCAGACATCAAATATACCTTTTGTAAATATATTGTGGAGTAATTACTTCCTATAAATAGAGTAAAGTCAAACTCCCTCTGGGTTTGTTGTTCTATGCACTGTGTTCACATGGACAGGATGACGCCTCCTTCTGCTTGTTTCACTCAGAGGCTCAACATGTTTCAGAAATGCTTTTTTACCCCTCCGACCATTGGCCCTGCCACCACTTGGAGGGTAGAGAGACAGCCCCATCCACTCAGGGAAGCTGTGTCTAGGAGCGTGATAACAGAGTGTCATTGCAAGAGGAGGCTACAACTGAAGGAGAACAAACATTCTAAACCAAGACAATATTTTCTACGGCCTTAAAATCTGCTCTGACAGGCGCATAGCAAGCCTTTAAATCTAACAATTCAATACACACAAAAATCCAAAACACATGTTCATGGGCTCAAGAGGATGCATCCACATGACTTTAAGTATCATGTGGACATATGGTATCAATACAGAGCATGAAACCTATGTGCTGCACAGAGAGTTCGCTCATTTTTAACTTTTGACCCTGGTTGGCCTGTGAGAATACAGCATAAAAATCAACAACATACAGAAACATCAAAGCATATGACACTATATTATGCTCTCTTGGTAATCTCTTGGTTTTTTCATAAGGCTGCCCAAGGTTGACCTTTTTGTTGTCTTGAGCGAGATAGCGATGACTAGACCATTTGATGGCTTTAAGTTAATTTTGCTTTGGATATTCAAGGTTCACAGAGGAGACATTTAATTACTTTGGTGATTAAAATGTATACCTGCTTATGGCACTGGAACACCAAACACTTGGGTTCATGATTAAATGCCTGCAAAACCAATGCCAAACTAATCCCTTCAGCGTTTTTGTGAGTTTTTAGCTGTGAGTTTTTAGCTGTTTTTGAAACAGACTGGAATTATTACTGATGCCTCTAAAGCAATCAAGACCTTCAGAGACAAGACGGATCATTTCTCTAAAGTTAATTTTAATGCTTGTCACCAATGCTGCAGGGTAGGTGTCAGACAAACTGATTAAAAGCAAACTGCAGAGACATCCATTATTTACATTCTCCACAGGAAAGATTTTGACTGAGTGATACATTCGACAATTTTAAGAAAGCAGGATGAGTTGTTTTATCAGAAACACAAATAGCACACATACAAGCCAAGGTCAGTAAAGCGATTAGAGGGACCACTGTCTCCACTAAAGCATCTAAATCAATGCAAACTGAAAGATCCACAAAGTAGCTTATGGAGGGTGTTATGTAGCTCTCTAACCCATGAATAGATAATAGACATAAACATTTCTCTCACTTAAAATATTCTTTACTTCCTCCGTCTTAACTTCCTCTTGTCAGTAATGTCAGTCTGAGAGTGTCAACATCCTGATATTGGCATCAGCATCTCCTGTTGGTTGTGAGAAAAGCCTCAAAGAGCAGACTTCCAGTCTTGTTACAATACATATCCAAATATCTCTTAGTTTATGCAAATAGCAACAAGAAAAAGTCTGCACAGCAAAAAAATAGTACTTTTTTTAAATTCACCTTTCAGCTGATATTAAAGCTCACAAATTATACTCCTTTTCAACCAGTTTAAATCATTCTCAGAGCTACCTAAGACATGTCTGTGAAGTTTTTTTGAAAAAGATCCACTCTGATCCTGTATTTAATCATGCCTATAAACCCCTCTATTTCAGCTCTGCTCCAAACAGGCTGTTTCTGTGTCTGTAGCTTTAAATGCAAATTAGCTGTGTTCGACCACGCCCCTCTGGAAGGACATGTGACTCGGGCTTTCTCCCACCATTCCTAGTTGTTCACAGTGAGAAGGCAGACTCAATGGGCAATAAAAACACGAGCTGTGGGAGTGTCACCCACCTGAGGGAGGGGTTTCTGCCCTTTGTGATGTCATGAATCTCTAAACAGCCTTTTTGAGCACACATTTACTGAAAAGTGGAGCAGTGAGGTGGACTTTTCTCATATTTGGGGGATTTGTAGACAGACTTGGAGCACATATTAGCGTTAGAAAACCATGGTAAAGTGTATTTTTCATAATATGTGACCTTTAGACACAGAAATGAGTATCCATCCATCCATTATCTGCTTTTTCCGTTCAGGATGCGGGTCTTGAGCTGATCCCAGCTGTCATTGTGTCGTAGTGTTCTTCCTTTCTTTCTAAAAGTATTGAAAAGAATTGACAGAGTTGTTTGATTTGATCTACAACTTTTGACAGTTTCAAACACTAACTTATTCAGTAACATCTTTGAAATGCTTCTTTTTATATATATTTTTATATATTTCGTTTTCTAATTTATTCATTTTATCCCTGATTGTGCCCCTCAATGTTTTCTTCATCTAATTTGGTATTCAATGTTTTTCTGTGAACCCTAGCTTTCAACAAGATTCATGTGAATCATCATCATTTTTTATGATCAGCGCTGCATGGAGGGCATTAATGGATGAATATGGATGAACAAAATGAGATAGTGGGTGCAGTCTGTTTACTCTCCTCTCCAAAAAGATAAATATGGGTACTTTTAGCGTGTCTATATTATGTGAACCACTAATTGGATCGCTCTCTTTGTTGTGCTTAGTTATATAACCTTTTTCTTTTACACCAGCTGGTTAACTGAAGAGCTGCCTAGAAGCGTGACTGCAGTGCTGCCCCCAACATGTATCTGCAAACAGTTCTACTTTGCACTCACTTTTCAGTGTGTAACAGCAGAATTGAATTTGCCCAGTTTCAAGGATTTATGAATGTCTGTTTGCTTCATGTTAGATGAAAATCAGTGTCTCGGATTTTGGGCTAAATTAATTCTACAGGTCGCACTGCACATGTTACAATTTACCATGCTGCTTTTAAGTGTGAATCATTTCATTTAATTGCCACATTGCCATCTGGTGTGTGATGTTATTGACTCGATGCACAGTGATGGTGGCTCAGGAGCCGAGCTGCTTACAAAACTGTCAGCTAAAATAATTGTCCTGTATGGATTTTCAGACAGCATAAACCAAGTGTTTTCCATTTGAAATGGAAGTTTGCAGCTTTATAGTATGTGGCTCTGCTGCTCTATATCTTACATTGTTTAGATTGTAAACATTGATTCTAGTACTTAAAGAATGAAATAATTGGACTACTGTCACAGCCCAAGTCAAGATTGGGCATTGGAGAGACGACCACACATGAGCTGGACTGAAAAAAAATTTCAAAACAAGAAAATATTTTGTGGGAATCCAGGGACAAAGGCCGTTTCTGATATCACATACTCATCTAGTACTCCCTACTTCCTAGGAGTTCAGCCAGGGATAAACAGTATAATAATGGCATGTATTTCAGTGACTAAAATGTTATACTGAGTGTATTTTCACTAAATATTCAAGTACAATTTATACAACTAGAATACAGCAATTTTTAAATGTTTATTTTGGGGCTTTTGCCTTTATTAAGAATAAGCAGTGGACATTGGGAGAGAGAGCGGGGAATGACATGCATCACAGTAAAAAAACGTGCTATAGTGTTATAAAGGTTTAGTTTGACTCCTGCTTGAGGATGTTTGATATATTTTAATATTGAATTTTCTCATTATGCCAATAATAGATGGCATGTCTCTGTATGATCAGCAGGGTGACAACTTAAAGAAAAAAAACATGAGGAAAGAATTAAAGCGACGTCACAAATGCAGATGCTTCTACACAGGGAGCTCTTTGGCATTTAACATCCTCTGTGATGTGTTTAAAACTAGTGAGCAGGTCCGCCTTGTTTATTTGATTGTATAAGGTGACAAAAGAGAAAAGATCTGAGTGACTTTGAAAGAGGGTTTATCGTCAGGGAGCAGATGGCTTCAGTCACAAAGAGTTCAGTTGGCCATATTTTAGACAGACTCTCAACCGCCATCATCATAACAGTTGGTTCATCATCAAAAAAATCATTTTAAAAAATGGTTTCCATTCCTCCAGTCAAGTCCAGAGACATGTAGAGTCATTATGGATATTGAAGCTGTTCTGGCAGGTTGTGGCCACCTAACCCCTTTCTTTTAAGTCTCTTTAATGTTTGGTTTCCTTTATTTATTTTTTCACTCATAACATCTCTGAGGTTTCTGCCCTTTTTTTTTCTCTGTCCTTAAACCTGATTCTTTTCTGTAACATAATGGGCTCTTGTCTTTTTTCCCCCCTCTTGGTGGGTTGTTCGTGTACCAGGTTTCGCAGGATCCCGGACTTTGGGAGGATGTGGTGAGCTGCTGTTAGTGTCCACGTCCTGCACATGTCGTCTGTACTCTCACCGTCCACGAAAACAGCACCTTTATTCGTCTTCTTTACCAACATGGTTCTTTAGATCACTGCATGATCCTTTTAATGATACTAAAGTTTTGTGAGTCATCAATACAAAACTTTATCTTTGTTGTATTTGTTGTTGTTGTCCTTTTTTTTTTTTTTTGCTCTGTGGTAAACATTGATCATCGGTTTCTCTTCACTTGTGCTTCAGATCACCAGCAGTCCTGGCCGTCTTTCTCTTCCGTTCACTTCAGCTCACAGCCTCCAGGTAAAATCACGTCATATGAATGTCAGTAGGTTGTGCATCACATGGTTCAGCGGAAGAGTTAACCAGAGTTTGAACTTCTGATATGTCCAATGCTGGATCTAAGAGTGTAAAGGTTTAATATGATAGTATCTTTCATAAAAAGTGTTCTCTTGAATATGTTTCATCCCACCCTGAAGTAGCCTTAAATCTTCCTGACCTGGCTGTTCACACATGCACCTGATTGCGGCATGTGCATGTTCGATGGGAGGGGTGGTTGGGGGGGGGTTTCCGTGGCAAGACATGATGTAAGAAAACAACTATGCTTTATATAGTTTGACAATGGCAACGGTTGCGTGCACCAATTGCCGCCAATAAACTCCACCAGCCCACCAGCCCCCACTCGCTCACTATAAATTCTTCTGATTAAATCCTGCTGCATTCTCACATCAGCTCACTTGACACTTAACATGGAAATTGTACTTGGGGTCTGGCAGGAGAAACTCTGGATAAAGTCAGAGGCAAACATTTGGCTGTTTGGCAGTATGAAAATACCATAGGTGGATGAAGAGTTGATTGTCCGTATGTGTTGTCATTGTGATTGATTGGTTCCCAGTCCTGAGGGAACCCTGCCTCATATTCTCTGTGTAAACAGGGATTGGTACCATTGGTACCCACCAACCCTCTATGAGTAAGCTATATAGAATACACTGTACAGAGATCAACATTAATTGATCTCTGTGTGTGGTGGAGTATCACACAAACCCACCAAGTGGTTAAAGGCTAGTTCTCTGTTTTAGGGAAACATCTGTCAGCTCTTAGGGGCTTGTCATGTAACATCCGTCCTGATTGACAGCACCAATTAAATCCATTTCATTCAAAGTCCAATTTAAAGCATTTCACACCATGTTTTAAGTTTTGCACATCAAAAATAACAGAACATTTGCATCACACGTCTCTCACTGCTGCAGTTTAAACAACATTGCATCTGTGGATTTAAGTAGTTAACAGGTTTCCACACTGCCAAACAGCTCGGTCAGTTTGCTGTAGACTAAACGTGGGAAAAGTATCTGTGACTCAGAAGTATGTTTATTGCTTTATTGTTTCATTTTAAATGAAACTGACACCCACACCTGACTTCTTCTTGTGTTTTTAAGTCCGCACTGAGCCCAGCTTATGTTGCCAACTTTATGACCTATATTTAAACAAAAGTTTTTCCCCTAAATAGAAAGACTTGCGCTTTACCCACAGTAAGGTTCCTCACTGGTTCAGTATAATTCTGGATGTTGCCACTTGCATAGATCTCCACAGAATATGACAAGGCAGCACAGCAGTAAGAAAAACACGAGTAGCTTTTGGCGGGCTGGGGGTAGTGTGGGAAGATGAATGGGGATTCTTACAAATTATAATCTTATTAGTAATGCAGCTGTTCTATGCTTGAATTCATTATCATTCCCAATAAATGCTACAAACAAAAGTTGTTGTATTAAATAGAAAATTCAATAAAAAAATACTGAACAAAAAAAAAAAAGCACAACCATTGTTAAATTCCTCTCAGGTCTTTTTGTCAACTACTGACACATTGTAGTGTCACTACTGTATAACTTACGAGTCCAAATGAAACTTAACTTATTTTTTCCCAGAATGTGACTGTAAACTCAGATCCAGTTTACCCATCTCAAAAGGGACGCTTTGACAAAATCAAAAATCAACTCATGGTGACAATATTTCCACAATTTATAAGCATTCCTCTTGCTCCCGAGATTTAGAGCAACTTGTTTGGAAAACGTGGTTAAGAATGTCTTTTTTGATATATTTCAACCATGTGAAACCTGTGAATTAAGCATTACAACCCTAATGCAACAGCTGCTGTTTTACTTTATTCTATTGTTTTTCCATTGGGCATTATAGGATGCACACCATTAATGCAGCAATAGAGTAATACAATAACTGGATTGTAAATCACCAAGACTATAGTAGAGTTATTGGTATTGGTATAGGCCTCCAGTCAGTGGCATAGGAAGTAATTGATTACTAGGCCTCAGAAAATATAGGTAGGCACAATTTTCATGCGGCCCAACAGCACCCAATACAGTTACAGTTAAAACAGGAAGGCTCACAGGCAGCCCAACAGCACCCCATACTGTTACATACCTTTACAGTTAAAAGCCATGGAAGTAACTGTGTGTGTGTGACCTGTGACTATTAGAAATCGATATAAAAGGCAAATGAAGAGGCAGAAAGTGGGATGTTAGCTTCAGCTAGCAAAATGTGCGCAGTCAATGTATTTCCACATACAATGTTCTCTGTATTGCTCATGCTCAACCGTTGGCATCAAAATCAGTTTAATCGAGGGAGAACATCAGCAGAAAAACCCTAAAGTGAACCTGACCCGAGTCATAGGCTATGTACTCCATATTTAACCAGTTGCATCAGCTTACGACCTGGATGCACAGATTTAGTGATAACTCTGATGTTTACAATTGTTTGCATCTGTGTGTGAAGGCGCAGTGAAAGCAGGTGCTGGGTTTTTGGATGTCCCTCCCCCCGGTCCCCTCCAGAGGAACAGCAGCTTTGCAGACGACCTGGAGCTGGAATCAGAGCGATTCAGTGCACTGGCTCCTGCTGCCTCTGTGTCACAGTGAGTTCAACACAACCATTGCAGTGTAATGCCATCATACTGATTCTGTTTCCAGGATGAATTTATTCTAATGAGACCATCACCAAACATTTGCATGTATTTTTTGGGGCTTTTTGTAATTAACCTTTGCAACATTTTAAACCCCAGAGCTCCTCTGTGTCTGCTGTGCACTGTTTCATTGTTAGGGAAAAGTACTGGTGGTTACTGGCACTTGCACAGCGAGAGACTGAGACTCGTATGAGGATGTGAGTGTTAAGTAACTGCTGTGTAATGTAAGTGCACAGTAAGTGAAACAAATGGAGCGACAGTTCTGACCCGTGGGACTTCCTTTCTAAACGGTGGGGTAATGATGCAGAGTGGGAATTGCATGCTGCAGCATTGTTGGCAAAGATCACTCTGTGCTCCGCTGACTCCAAAATACGTAACCAGCTGTTCTCATAGAGAAATGCCACATCAAATCCCACGCTAAATTGAACCATTATGAGATACTACCGCTTGTTTTATCCATGATGAGTCAACGCTGTGTTTAAAAAGCTTGGAAAATGTTCTTTCTAGCTTGTTAGATTCCTGGGGAAGATCTTTGCTTTTAAGCTTAATTGCAGATTGAGGTTGTTGTTCAAATCTGACATGCAGCACAGACTCTCGATGTGGATTTCATGTTTCTGCAGCTTTCTGTATTATTGACATCGCAGTGGAGCATGTTGTGGGAAATTGAAGATAATTGAGAGTTTTAACAAAACTGCCAAATGTTTGTCAGAAACAAACACAAATTACACCTTTAGTAAGACAGCAGACATTGCTGTTTGAGTGACACTAAAAGAGTCTGGATTGTAGCAGTTAGGCAGGCAGGGGGTAGACGTTTCCAGACTTCTTGAAACACTTTTTTTTTGTTTGAGTTGGGGGTTTTTTCTATCTCAAGAAGCAGTCACATGGGAGAGAAACAAAAGCAGCAAAAGTTGTGGACTTTGAGCCAAGACCAAACTATGTGTTTTTCATTGTGAGGGAGGTTTTTTATTATTGAAGAATGCTTTGGTTAAACATGAATATTGTCTTTTTTGTGTGTGTTAGCTCAGCAGCTATAGAAAATACTAGATAGAAATTAAGAGACCTTTTTGTTTTTCACTTAATTGATATTATCCAAATGACGCAGAATTTTTAAGCTCTGAAAACAATAGTCTCATACAATGATGCATTAAAAATTATTTATTTTCCTCTACAAATAAAACGCCTCTCAGCTTCAGAAATGGATTCGAGTGTGGTAGGGAACATACCGTCGGACGGAGAGCCGGCGTCTAACAGGGCGCACACAGATGTTAGTAGGTTCCAGGAGTAAGGGCCCAAGTTCAGCCAAGTTCAGTAAAAGAAGTCTGGACTCGTCTGGACTGTTTAAAGCCCAATTAGTGACTTGAAATGTGAGAATGTAGTTGTATTTGAGTGATAATATGTCCAGCTCATCTCTTTTTGGCACATTCGTGCAAATATATATTTAACAAAAAAAACATATTAAATCTTAATAAATTGTAAAAGGTAGACATTGAGTTTTGGAGTTGCATTTTGGTAAATTATTTTTCCTACCTGCAGCCGAAGCCAACTCAAACATGGGTGATCATTGCTCAGCCCACAAACTCTCTTTATATATTCTGTGTTTCCATGCAGATATCCTTTTATATAGTTCCATGTTTGCAAAATGATGTAAAACCCTTTTTTTTATCCAAGCTTCCCTTTAACTATATTTCAATATCTGTCATTGGAGTTGAATGAAATCATGCCTTCCTTCCTCTTTCTCTGCTTTATCACCACCATTAGAAGTGGAAAATGGATTCCAGTAAAAGCTCACAGACCAGAGTATTTACGTTTCATTATGTTCTGCTAATTTGACAAAATGTTATGAAAGGTTTATTTGAAAAATGGAGCCACGTCTTTGCCTGTGAAAAAGTCCATTATGAGACACCTGCTGACCTTGTTTCTGTACTCTTTCACCCAACTGGTTTTACAAAGAGCTTACTTCTCTCCCCCATGTAGACTCATTCACTGCTTTTCTATGCTAATGAACCCTGGTGAGTAATAGCTCCTTAATAATTCCCGCAACATAATAATGGAGGCTAAATGCACCACAATCGCTCTGGGCTTTTCTTATATTAATGAATGTCAGGGTAAAAAACACAGGCCACACAATTCATCTATCCTTTGTTCTCCCTGTAGCTCACCTTGATCACATTCAAAGGGAGTGCAGTCATAAGGGAGGTACTTTTGATGGAGACTGAAAAGTAATCATGAAACTGTACTGCACACAATATTTCCTTAAACTGATAGTGAATGTGTGCGAAGGCCATGTCAACCATCTTTTTCATATTTTCAGTTTCATAAGAGACAAATTAAACACGGGTCTTAAGCAAAAGATTAACCCAGATGTTAAAGTTTCACAGGGGTTACTTTCTGCTTTCTCATGAGTCTCTGATTTTCACTTTTGCTTGAGACGCATTTTCATGAATCTTCAATTTAAATAGTTTCATAACATTCACTCAAGGAATTTTCATAAGGCACTCAAACACATTTATGTGAAACTCTTTCATGCAGATTGACAGAGTCACACCAAAAGGCCATCCAGGTGATCCTGAAAATGCGTTATCTAGTGGCTAAGAGAAGGTTTCAGGTAAGTAGGACACATATTGAGCACATGGTATTTGAATTATGAAAGCTTTTTTTGAAGTGTCATAAAAAAATAAAAAGCACTCAAAATTGGCTGATGCGTCTGTTACTTTGCTTTGAATTTAAAGCTCCTGTCAGCTCTGACGCAGCCACCCCCTTCCCCTAATTACACCTCCGGTACTACCTCCAATGGCAGATCTGGGGCGTAAATATCCAGCCTTGATCTGACAATATATAAGTGGCTACTGGCTTTTTGCGCTGATGTATCGCTGCCTTTGTTTGTGTTTTGCTTTTACTTAAGTTAAATATTGTGTAGTATTTGGATTTAAGATGCATTTAAGGCCACCAGCTTCAGACTGCAGATAAAGTTTAGCATCCAGAATAATTCTTGCATATTTACATGGAACAATACAGTTTTCATGGTACTTGATTTCAACTGAATAATGGGACATAATTAAATGATAAAAAGTAGTTTTACAGCAGAGTTTCCAACTGAGCATTTCAGCATCAGCATAAACAAACAAAACCCAGTAGGTAATGCCTTGACAGCTTTAATTTATTGCCTTATTGCAGGTAGTCTTCTTAAACCTTTTTAAACTCTTTGTTCTGTTTCAGCTCATCTGCTGACATGAAATTGTTATGGAATTAAATAAATAAAAGGCAGCGTTTGCACAGAGTAAATATTTGTTGTCAACGTACAACAAGCTCAGCAGCAGAGATAATTGGAAGCAATGAAACCAAAAAACATTACCTTCTCCAGAGAGATGAAGTGCACTGTAAAAATGCTTTTCCCAAGTAAAGCTGAACAGTGTAATACAGATAAGTAGCGGTTGTATGTCCTACAAGCAATATATGATAAAAATATTATTTTTTTCCTTCTACATTCAGCAAGCTCGCAAGCCGTATGATGTGCGAGATGTGATTGAACAATACACCCAGGGTCACCTCAGCCTCATGATGCGAATCAAGGAGCTGCAGAGGAGGTAAACTGAAAAACAACAAAGAGCTTCATGGCGAGAGACAGTGAGTGAGTGAGTTTGCAGCTAAACGTATATTTTTCTCACTTCTTTGTTTCTCTCAGACTGGACCAGTCTTTAGGGAAGATAACTTTGTTCCACGAGTTCAGGTAATCAATCACTCCACAGCACACTGCAGTATATATATATGTATATGTATTAAACCACAGTTTTAATCTCCACCCTTTATTTTATTTGCTGTACTTCTGTCTCACACTGAAGACAGAGACAAAGACAAGGGCAACTCCGTCGCTCCAGACTGAACAGGATAGAGGACAAGGTGGGATTTGGTGCACCTGCAAAAGAACAACACATAAAACATGTACTTTTCAAAATAAACTTAAAGGAAGAATTTGTAACATTTCACACAGAAATAAAGCAGAAATCAAGTATATCCTCTGTAAATATCTCTCAGAGTATGACTGGACATTGGGTGAGAAGCACGATTTAAGCTCAGCCTACCAAGCACGAGTCCGGCTGACTGTGTTGTTGTCGGAGCCAGGTTTTCATCATGGTCATTCTGTGTCAATTCACATGAAATGTGAAGCTAACTGTGTAATAACTTTCGCCTGCTAACACAACAATGCAGGCCACAGTCAATTGCAGCTCGAGCCGAGGACAATTTAGTCCACCGCTTGCGCCTAATGGTGCTTAATTATGGTGCGTTCCATTTGACAACTCCTTAATTGTTGGAGGGGTTGGAGGTGGGCCGCTGGAGGAGAGCGGTGGCTTCAGTGTTTTTCACAAAAGTGAAAAAAATAATTATGTGGACTTGTATGATGATCAATTTTCGCTCTTAAAGCTTGTTATTTCCTAATTTACATTCTTGATATTAATTAATTTATGCACAGTACAGACAGTAACACAACTTGGCAGAAGTCAATTGTTGTTATCATAATGCTCTTTGACAAACTAAAATTAATTATATGACATTAAGTACATAATTGTTTGGTGCTCCTCTCTTCAACCTCACAATATGACTCTCAGAAGTACTTAATTTAATTTGAACGAGTGAAAAGCATCATAAGTGGTGAATCTAATTGAGTGCCAGTATGTTTTCGCTCTTATTTATGGGTATTTGGTTCAACTTTCATAGATTGCAAACTTAGACCAGACGATGAGCCGCATCGCAGGGTCCCTCTCCTTACTGCTGGACCAAAGGGACGTCCGCGACGGAGAAGGTGGAGGCAGGCAGAAGCCTCAGCTTGGACAGACCTTAAATGTCCCGCCCAGCCAGGACGCCTTGCCACGCTATGACCAACTATCTTAAGCATCAATCTCTTCTCACACTGCCAGCACAGCGGCCTTCCCATAACCTCACTTCAGCATAGCCAACAGTAAGGATGAGAGCTGCTGAAAACAAACTGCAACATACGTCTAAAGCAGTAGCCTACCTACCTATACCTCCCTAAATACCTAGAATCCATACTTATCTATCATGCATAGCCTATAATGACAAAGAAATGTATAATTTCTGTAAAAAAATATTTTTTACACTAACTAACCTCTAAAAATAGCACCCAATGCATAACTATACACTAACTATGTTATGGCCATCTCTGAGCATTGACTGCCTTTCGACTGCGCAGTCATGCAAAAACTTTGGCTAGCTTAACAAAAGCTACAGCTAAATTAAGTCAATTTATCTGCCTTTAGGTGTCGACTAAATTTTAAAGAACTTGCATATTGTTAATTCTTAGATGGTGGCTAAATGTATTATGATAACTCATGCTTGTCTCATTTAACATCACTAAACTCTAACAGCCTTAACTCACCCCTAGCTTAAGCGCTTTTGATATTAGGCATTATTTCTTAACGTAGCCTACATTTTTTTCCTAAATTTGAATAAACTACTTAATAGAGCTGAGCCCCACGCTTACTGTTATTCTGTGATTTATGAGCTCCAACTGCTTTGCATTTATTACCTTGACACAAAGATGTGGACAACTAAAAAGCTAAAGCAACACAGCCATTTAAGCAAAAGCTAGCTAGCTAGCTATGTGATATACAATAGTTAGCTTTAGCTTAACTTAAACAAAATGTAACCTAATTGATCAGATTTTTGCCTTTTGCATTTGGTATTTTGAAGACTTGATGTCTCTGCAATGTAATTTGTATTTCTAGATAACCAATGGACAGTGGTAGAACGTCGACTCACATTGTTCCAGTGAATCGTTTACAATGAACAACCAAAGCTCACAGTTGACGGAAGTTGAAGTCATATATTTTCAGTAGTTTCATGTGGACGTCTCAAATAGCTACAAACAGTCAAATATGCTCTTGCTGTCTCGCTCTCTCCCTCAAAAACCGGGTAAGGAACGACTTCAGTTAACACGGTGTAAACCCGGCCTAAGCTCGTTTAAAACCACTGAGCCCTAACTCAAAATGTTTGCACTGAAAGCTGGTGAAGTGGCTAATTAGCTGGTGCTGATTAATGTTTTGCCTATTTGTTGTTCGTTAATTATAAAATATGATTTCAAAGGAAATCTGTAATCTTTTTATATAACTAAAGGACGCAGTGGCTGCAGTATATCGTGTAGTGATAAATCTTAACTCCTGCTCAAGTTAACAAACACGCTTAGCAGATTTTGTGAAGTTATTTCAGCTTTTACTCTAGTGGAATGGACTTTATAAATAAGTGGACAGACAAAACAAACATCTCAATTACCAGTGTGTTTGACCTGTGTATTCTACACTTTTGAAGACCTGTGTATTATGCAACATTTAAGACATTTATATAGCAGACAACAAACATATCCTGACTAAACGTAGCCTATTGTTAAATATTGACTTTCGATAAAAAAAAAGACTTAAGTCAAACTCCCTCTGGGTTTGTTGAACTCAGCTCGGTGTTCACATTGACAGGACACTACTTCCTTAAGCTGAAATGTTCTCACTCACTCAGGATGCTGTGTGTAGTGGCACAATGGCCAAACATTGTTGAAAGAGTACAATTCAAGGAGAGCCAACTGACTTTCCAAACCTAAGAAAAAACTTTATTTTGTCTGAAATGCTTAAAAAGAATAAGAATTAAAAATCTACTGCTGCATATCTGAATGGAGATCAGTCCTAAAAAAAGACTCGGGACATTAAGTAAGGGTTGGGGAGCAGAGGAAGCAGTGGGCTGAGGAATCAAGGAAGTTAGATTGTTTTGGTCTGAGAGACTTGTGCCAATGTGTAACATCTACTGGACATCTACTCTGAAAGTGATGTGACTGACTTTGATACACATCCCCACTAAGTCTGTGAGGGCCTAAGGCTGTCCCACTGTCAAATTGTCAATGGCTTGAGGGATCTCTCGCAGGCTTTTTGCCCCTTTTCCATAAGTTGGCATATCTGCGGATTGAGCGTGAGGGAATTACCTATAGTTCATAGTATTGTGAGTTCAAACACAGGATTCCCAGCAGAAATGTGCAAGCATGGAGTGTAAAAAAAAAAACGGAAATAAATAAAAAGGAGAGAAAGATAAGAAAGCATGGACGGTGCAACCAAAGTTGACGGTTCTAAAAGGAGGTTTGCAGCCTTAATTCACTTAGGAATATTGCCATGGTACATCTGTTTTTATCTCAAGATTCTGAGAAGCTAATTCATGCCTGTTGTTCTAGTAGGCTGTAGTTTATGTTACTCTTTTTACAGGTCTACAAAAAAGTATTTTGGGAACTACAGCTAATTCAGAACTATGCTGAAAGCCAGGCAGTCTTTTCCTTAAGCGCCTTGGCTGTGAGTTAAGTAAAACAACTAATTTAAAAAGTTGTCATGCCGCTTTAGTGAGCAACATGTCGTAGTGCTGTCAGGGTTACAGGGAAGTCGCTCAAACCCCTTGCAGCCTCATGCACTCAGTCACTCTCCAGATGGCATCAGTTAAGTCCTTAAGGGCTCAGGCTCTAGGGAGGAATCAAGATTCAGCCAAACAAATGAAAGTGGAACTCGAGGTTAAGAAAACATGGTTGGAAGATAGTGAATATTGTATCCCTAGACAGGAAGCAAACCTATAACTTCTCTTTTACAATTCTACAATTCACTTAGCAAATGCTTTTATCCAAAGCGACGTACATCAGAGAGTAAGTACAACACAAGCAAGGATCTAGAAAAAGGAAAGAATGTCAGTAAGGGCAAACGAACAGCTTTGAGTCTGATCAGACACAGATGCTGACAGGCATTGCACAGAGGCTAAGTACAACATTTACGGCAGTTCTTGAGAGCTCTAATCAGTCTAGAAACCATCTTAAAAGTCGCCATTATCAACAAAACCATCGTCATCATCATCATCAATAATATTGAGACCATCATCATCATTAAGTTAGTAGGTATGAAAGAGCTGGGTCTTTAGCTTTTTCTTAAAGGTGCAGAGGGACTCTGCAGATCGAATGGAGTTTGGTAGTTCGTTCCACCACCGGGGGGTGACATAGGAGAAGAGTCTAGTCAGCGTCTTAGGACCCTGTTGTGAAGGTTGCAAATTGCCTTTTTTTCTTACTTTATTGCTTTTCTGAATGCTGGGATATTAACGTGAATTATCTCGTCATAGAATAGGCATATGTAAAATTTCTATGAAATACGACCTTTTCAATGCGGATATTTCAGTATCAGGATATTTTTCTATTACCTTGAACGGAAAACTATCTTGAAAGCATTTACTGGCGTATCGTTAGTTCATTACCTTGATAAAAAAGGTCATTGAAACTACTATTTCACATGAATGCCCAAGAAATAGCTGCCACCCATTATCAAAAATGATTTCAAAGTCAGTGGCAGTGATGAAGAAACATCATTGTTGACATTTCAACCTTGATATTTCAGTGTATTTTTACAGCACATGTTTTATAATCTACAAGTGTTGTACTCGAAGTATAATCCGTTTGAAGTCATTTGCCTCGCTCTCATCATGTACTTTGATTCAATATGTTGAGTTTTATATCACATTGTTTTACTTCCCTGTAGAGATGAGGCCTTACTTTACTTGAAAATTCTCAGTTTGATAGGGGAAAAAAACTGTTTTTATTCAACTTCACTTTTTTGTAAATGTTAGGAAAATTCTTCTAGCAATAAAATATTTTGGTAATTGTCTCCAAGTGTCTTTGTATTGTGTCTGGCGCCTAAAGGGGGGAATCTCTGACTAAAACAAATGAGCTGAATACTTTGCTTTCAGTGAGGGTTTTTTTTTTCCTCTTGCCAGTGGCAGTTTGAAGGAAAGCTAAAAGTTTTGATTTTACTTTAAACAGTGAACTGTGTTCCTCCTCAGTCATCAACACAACGAGTGATCTATTTTTCGGTTTAGGAGGTAATTCAAAGTACTTGTTCCTTCACAAACTGCGTTCTACGTGTGGGGGTTGCTATGTTGTGTCCACACTGACTTATGGACATGGCCAAAAGCATGACTAAAACTCAATCTTTACCCAGGTGACCTTTGGGCAGCAGATGGTGACCTTTGGCCTGCTGGCCATCAATGGGGTGTCCGGGCATTCCTTCACACAAGTGGCCATGTGGAGAAAGGCCCAAGTGACCATCTGCCTCTGGTTTCCACAACAATGAGCCCCACCCTCCTAAAGTGTGCTAAGGGTGGATGGCCTTTGTGATGACCAGGAGGAGGTGGGCGAATGTAGGGAGTCATTACAGAGAGGGGGTGGAGGTTTGATTAGTGTTGGGATATTTAAAGAGGAAGAGTGTAATGAGTATAACAGTCATAAACACTCAAACAATGCGGTGGATCACTCCATCCACGAAACAGCTAAAGTTAAATTTGAATACAGGCTATGGCACAGATTTCTGGTCCCTGTACATAGGTTTCTCTACTGGCCCCGCCCTCCACCGACAGCTATTCATTCTAGTACTTTTTGTAATCCTGCATCCTTTTGTTTTTGCCTTTGTTGATAGGACAGTTGAAGAGAGACAGGACATTTGGGGATGAGACAGCAGGGGATATGTTAAATGATTAATTGACAAAAATTTAATCAATCACTTTCATTTTTGGAAAAATAATATATCTTTGGAGGGCGGGGGGGTCAAATTATCTGATTTCAGCATTATAAATGTGAATATTTTTATGTTTCTTTACTCCTCTTTAAGAAAACTTAGTATATAAACTTAGTATGTTTAGTTTGTGGACAACAACAAGACATCTGACTTTGTCATCTTAGGTTTTTTGAAAAATTGATTGACACTGTATTCTTTCATTTTTAACTTCCCTGCTATATTTCAGGACCTTTTCACTTAAGGGCCCTGTGTTCACAGTCCCCCTTTGCTCGCCAGTATATCTGGTGCCTTACAGGCTACTTGCTATTTACAGAATCATCATGGGTGCATGTACTGTAAGGTAGAAAGGCTCAACAACAGTTATTGGATCACTTTTCATATTTTAAACCTATTTTATCTTTATACACTTATGTATCTTAAATATAGTTTTAAGAAAATTGTTTTTTAGGAATTGCAAATCCTTAACTGACTTTGTTTTCTCATTTAGTTTTCTGATGTTGACAATTTTGACATTTTCGGTTTGTGGGTATTCAAATTTACAGCACTGATTTGAGTTCATACATGAAGGTATTTTTGGTTCATAAAGTTACAACATTTTAAATTGCTACACTCACTCATTGCTGTTTATCTCTTTTATTGCTGGTGTGCTGAGCAGCTTGTAGTGTTGGTGATAAAAGTTATTCAATAAGGTAGTGGGAGTGGTAATTTGGGAACCCATGAGACTGCCGGGACCCATGGGAGTGTTTGATTATTGATTTTCTTGACTGTTAATTAGACACAAATCCATTAAAACAGAATGTACGATCATTTGATCCGTTAATGAAAAAATAACACACTTAACGTCTGTTGTCCTTGGTAATAATGAGGCGTTTAAAAATGTAAATATGATGTTCATGTTTGAACAAGCTTTCTTTTTCTCTCACACAAGTAAACACGAGCCAAAGGGAGAATAAACATTAGTAGGATTAGTTCGGGCACATGTCAATGATAATAGCTACTTTGACTATGAAAAGGAACGGAGTGAAAACAGAGAAGTCGGGGAAAGACCTGGGGGGGGGAGGGGGTTGAGGAGGCTGATTTGCAGGTGAAATAGATGGCACACTCTGCTTTGTGGCCATTGTCCTGCTCTGCGTCCAGATGGCCCCTAGAAATCCTTTAGAGCTCAAACTCCAACACTGTGGGGGTGAACGGGCTTTCAGAGGGATTTGGCCTCTCTAATGGGCTAATTTGGCATTTCATATCAACGGATGTAATTTTAAGCCTGACAGTGCAGTCCTTATGATGATTATGGAACATCTTATAAAACAGCAGAGAAAATGCAATCACCTTAAAATGGTTTTCTTTTCTTTTCATGGCTTTACTTGAATTGACTTTTAGCTACAATTCTAGAGGGATGATTATGAAGAGTTAACTCGTCCGTGACTAGCACAAAGTCAGCATAAAACCAAATATTTGCTTTCTCATAACTGCAGGAAGACTGAACAAAAAACAAATAATTGAATGTTCTGTCCATTTATATGCCAGTGTGTTATCACTGCAGAGGTTAAATGAAGTGTTTGCCCCTTTTCAATAGTTTTTTTGTACTACTGCAGTTAAAACTTCAAACATTTTAATAACACTAACAGAGTTCAGGCAAAAGTGACAGAGTGGGAATAGAAGTGTTTCTGTTCAGTTTAGACTTTCCACTGCAAGGATCGTTGCTTCAGGCAAACTGCGTGCTGATGCACATAAACATCATTTGTGTGTAAGTGTTTTGCATCCTGAACTGTCTCCAGTCTGTGCTGCAGGGCCCAATTTACTCGAAGCTTTAGACAAGATGATCCTGAATCTTTGGTTTATGAGGCATTAGATGAAGAGGGGATGTGGATTACTGTGCCATAGCATAGTTAGATAAAACAAATATAGATGCTACGAATGTACTTAACAAACTAGTCTGGTGTGTGGTAAATGCTAGTTTAATCAAATGAATATTTTGTGTATCTGATGCCAAGTAGTCAGAAAAACAAAAACAAAACACTGATTCAGAAGGACAGTTACAATCAAGAAAAATAGTTTATTGAGATTGCAATATTTAGGCATTTACAAAGTCGTTGATCTGCATCATATTAAATTCATACAAAATAGTGCTTTTCATAATCAACAGAAGCAGCATACAGACATTCACCAACAAGATTGGAAAAAAAAAAGGCAAAGAAACATACAGAAACAAAAATTATAACACTGATGGAGATGAAGAAAGACACAATTTAAAAGCTTATTTGTGACTTCATCCATGAACAAATGCAGAGAAATTAAATAGAAGTTCATAAATAAAATAAATATCACAGAGTGGTATCATTTTACCACAATTCATTCAAAATGAAAAGGTAATGAAATAAAATAAAATGACATCAGAAAAGATAAAATAGAATAAAATAAGATTACAAATCATTTTGTTGCAGTGAATAGTAGAATAGGCTTAGGCTCAGTCCATGAAAATATTGTGTAGAAACACAAACAGTTCGTTTTATGAGCAGGCTCATCTTATTGTTTTGCACAGAGCTGCTTCACTGGAACTTGTGTGGAAAGGATTCACGATGCTCTTTGTGTCTGTGGACCTCCTTCTCTTTGCGAAGAAATCTGCCAAGAAAGCACAAAGAAAGATGTTAACTCACTTATTATAGGCTAATGAAATAAGAGTTATTCAATATGCCACACGGTTAATTAGCATAGGGATTATGAACCTCTTAATTTGTTTCTCACCTGTAATTCTCGCGTTGTTTCTGGGCTTGGGTGCAGACTTTGCGTAAATCCTCTTCCTCCGGACAGGCGTCACTTCAGCGGGACACTTGCGCGTGTTGGAGATGCTGGAGCAGTTCTCCTGGTCCGTCTTTGCGCTCTCCTCGCTGGCGCTCAACCTGTCAGCCTCCTCGGTTTTTAGGGAACAGGCAGCTTCCTCCTTCAGCTCTACAGACTCCTGATACACAGCAGCAGCGCAGTCTGCGGGGATTTCCTCCCACTGAAACCTGCCACACTGCGGCGTGTCAGTATGGAAGTTAAAGTTCCATCGGCGGCTGTCCTGCTCCGCGATCTCCTTCAGCCTCTGCTTCAAATCCCGGCGCAGCTGCTCGTGATCCACTGAGCCAAACAGGTTTCTGCACACGGACTCTTTGCGGTTCATCTTGAAGGATGTTGAGGTGAAGTTTTGATAGGGGAGGAAAAAGTCCTGGTGTAGTTTAAAGGGGAGCTGTATAGCTGGTCTCTCCCTGTGTTGTGTTATGGTCTTCAGAAAGCTGCACTGGGATTTTAAAGGCAGCAGCGCGCACGATGCTCTGTTTGTACACAATGAGCAGAGGCTGCTGATTGGCTGCAGCTCTCTGAATTGATGGACCACAGAGGGGGCGAAACTCATCCTTTGTGAAGAAGACCACTGAGAATAAAAGACTCTTTGGAGTTACTGTGAGGAGCAGCTCTTTCTTATTCCCAAATCACACCCAATTTAACGTTATCACGGCCCTCTGCGTTTCAAACACACACCGAAGGTACCATTTACCCCAGCTATAGTTTTTTTCTTACTCTGGGGGTTCAGTCCATGTCAAACCAAAGAAAACCAATGCTGAATTTGTATGTAAACCACCCGTATGATGTTTTACTATAACATCATTTGGTTTTTCTTGCCCGAACAAATTTAAAGCTCCTGTGAGAAGTTATTTGCTGGAAATGAAACAGACTAAAACTAATCCGGATGCCTTTATATGATCTACAAAAGTAGAAGATAACATCGGTAAAAAGACAGAATATTTCTAAATAGTTATTATTAATGCCTGTAACCTCTGCCACCAGGGAGTGATCAAATTAGGTGATAAACAGCACCCAGAACAAACAGCCTTTTTAAAAAAACATGCTCAATAAAAATATTCACCATGAGTGATATATTTGACTGTTAAAATCACCAATTCATTACAAGTTTTATCTCAAGGCGCTTTACAAAAGAGCATGGGATAATATGCAGGCTTTTTTTTAAATATAAAACTCAAAGGATTTCTCCTTTGTATTCCTCGCGTTCCTGTTGTCCACAGTTCCTTGCCGCTGAGGTGGAGGTCGGAGCAGGTCGTGCATGAATGAGGACAGCGGTGGTTGAGGGATGACACAGTCCGTTGGTGGTGGCTGTTAAATGAAAGCTTTTTGAGATTGTTTGTTAAAAAACAAAACTTATCCGGGCGCTGGTGGTGCAGTGCTTAGAGCGCGCATCCCATGTATGGAGGCTGCGGTCCTCCAAGCGGGCGGCCCAGGTTTGAATCTGACCTGTGGCTCCTTTCCTGCATGTCATTACCTACTGTCTTTCTCCTTGATTTCCGACTGTCCTATCTCTCCAATAAAGGCACAAAATGCCCAAAAATAAATATCTTAAAAAAAAAAAAAAAAAAAAACTTATCCATGCACAGGACAAATCAGCAAAGACGTAGGGGGTTTCAAAAAATCAAATCAAACCTAAAAGTTCTTCACAGGAGCTTTAATAAGGTTATTGTTTACCAAGTATTGGAAAGAATACAGAAATGAAGTTAGTGAAGTTTACTTGTATCTCACCTTTCACAGTTACTCATCACAGAGTGCTTCACATTAAACCATGTACACAATGAAACAAAAGGAAATGGCAGAGAACAATAAAAAGCACAGCGGAGGCAGAAACACAAGTACAGTGATGCATAAAAAGCAAATGTGACGAGGAAATAAAAGGACAGTACACATGACAAATGATCAGTGATTAAAAACAGCAACGGGGAACTGGCAATAGATATTGGTCAGAAGACCTGAGAGGCCGATAGGGAGTGTGAGGGGGCGGAAACCAAACATCAGCAGGCTGTTTGACATGCTAGGATGAAAGAGCAAATCAGGTCTGATCTAACTGGCGATTGTCTTCTTTTCTGGCATCAGTGAAAGATTCCTCCGTCAGATATCGATATTACATGTCCTAAATGACAGAGTTTTGTGGAAAGAGATTTATTAAGTATTGAAAATGGCTGATTTGTTACTCAAAGCATGGGATGCACAGACCAGGCTGGTGATAACACATTTTAACAGCCTTCTCTCTCATTATGTCACAAGTATCTTTCTTTATATATATATATATATATAAAGTGTTTCACTGTTAAATAACACACCGTTGTGTGTAGCTGGCAGGATTGAAAAGTCTCCTTTAAGATTATAGGCAAATCTATCTCATGCAGTGGGAGAGAACATGAGCCTCTGTATGAGACTAGGTAAGTGTCTGCCAACTGTAATTCTAAAATCCAAATTGCTGCTGTTGTTTCATTTCTGATTGGTTGTTTGTTTGTTTGTTTGTGTTTGCCATGGGGGTTTGTGATGAGTGGCCATCATAGCTATCTCTGCCTGCAGGCCAAAGAGGCCTAAGTCTTCATGCCAACGTGTGGCATCGACTAAGTGTAGGATCCAAAATGAAAATAAGTTCAAATGAGGATATACAATGTAGTTCAAGGTCATATATAGGTCAAGGCTGCAGTAATTAAAAAGTGCTTTCACAGCTTTAATTGCTTTATTTAAAGAGTTTTCCCTGCAGGTGAGAGTCGTAGAAATGTTCCAGTTTTTCCTCTTGCCTGATTCAAGTCAGCTGCTGAATGTTAATTATGTAACCATTTTTAATTAATTAAACCAATATGATAAACCTTCACTGCAAAACATAACAAATACATCTTTCTCACTCGTTCATTTAAACACATTCATGGCGGCCAATAAAACCCCCGTGTGATTTTCTGGTCACTGAGCAGGGCGGTTACGGGCCTCTGCCTGATCGCACCTCTGTGGCCGTTCACTTTCATCACCTGATCGATTGCGGTGACCTTCAAGCCCCCCTTTTCTTCTTTTACCCCTGACTGGATTCACAAATCCAGAGGGTCTTTATATGAGAAATGCAAAAGTGGCAATTCTAGATTTTGAAAATAAACCCCCCCCATCCCAGTTCCCTCCTGGATGCCTCTACTGTATATTGTAGATAAAACATGATAAAGTGCTCTCTAGTGGTATGATGTGCAACATATTGTGATTAAGTGCCATCTAGGGCGTCCTTCCAGAGGAGAAAATGGGACTCAGTGCTGTATAGACGTCCCTACATGCTAGTAAAGGGTTTAGAACTTCTCTCCTATTAATGCATCAGGACTTTCTTTGCACTGGTGCCCTTTTTCAATATCATTTTTTCAGTCCCCCGCTTGTTACAACCCTCATAAACTACTGATTCTCTTTGTATTCTCAATGCTGTAATAATGGCTGAGTTGAGAAACTGAGCAGCAGAATTACGAGAGGACACTTAAACCAACATTTTACTACCAAGAAGTATACTAATCCGTTATTCAATGGGCAATGATTTTGATATATTTAACAGATTTCTCTCCATTCACCTCATATTAAATATTGCAAAGCTGTCACAGTAGCAGAGTTATAATCAAGAACCAAACAAGAAAGACTACACTGGATCTATTCTCTTAAATTTAATTAAAATGTTGGCCCTGGTTAGCTCTTCTGCTGTCAGTAAATGTAAGGAATACATTCAGAGATGAATGGAAAAGTTGACTGTAAGAATGATCTTTTTGAACTATAAGAGTGTCACCACCAGGCAGCAGGAGAATGTGATGCTGATGAGCCTGACCGACATGCAAAGTTCTCAAGCGCGGCAGTGTCTCGGATTGGCTGGAGGCAGAACGCCACCTTTGTGCCACTTCCTGATGGCCCGGGGTGGATCACCTGAAGGGAAAACCCTCAGCTTTTACAGGTGTAGTTCTGCAAGGGGAGGAGGAGAGGCTCATTCATGGCAGCCATGCAGGAGAGGCAAGACACACCTCTGGTGAGTATTTACAATGTAGCATTTGTTTTATTATTTTTAATATATATATATATATGGAGGTGTCTTGAGTTTTGCCTGGGGGAAAAGATGCAAGAATATGTTTTGAACAGGTTGTCCCATTTCCCAATGTGTCTTTTTAGTTATACACAGGTTCACATCTGAATTGTAGGTCAAGCATCTTTAGGCAATATCAGAAAATCATCTTGTATCTGCAAATAGCTTCATATGTGGAGGATGTTTTTTTTACATAGTTGAAGAGTTTACCTTGAAGATCAAGCAGAAGATCAGTGTTTTTGTTCTATTTCTCAGCCATCAAACCATAATGAGATGTCCTTGTTAGTCTTTCTTAACAAGTGATACAATTTAATACACACATTTTTAACATTTCTCCCCTAATCCAGTGAAACAATCCTTCTATTTTACAAACGTGTAGCAGGGATAACCAGCTTTGAATCGGGATATCTTGCATCTTTTCGTGAAGTGAATGATTGTTTCTCCATGATAAAACAGACCAAAAAGTCCCAAGAGGCAACAGTGTGGAATTTTTCAACCTCAGATCGTTTCTTATTAAAATCTTATACATGAAGCCTCAAGTAGAACTATTGCATTACTGCATTCAGTAGCACTGTCTTCAAACAAAGTCGGTACAACACAGGTATGATTTTTAATTATTATGTTGCTTTGTTTCCAATAATCAATGGTTAACACTTAAATGGAGGTAACAGCAAGTGATATCAATCAATCAATTTGTATTTGTATAGCGTCAACTCATAACAATATATACAAGTTTCTTGGGCCCGGTTTTACACAAACTCATTCCCTAGCTGTGTTTTTTGTCTGCCTGTGTACATCACTAGATTGAGAAAGCCAAAATTGTCATGTCCTTTGCTTGAGAAAAAAGAACTTTATTATGCCAGACGCCAAGCTGGATGGAAAGTGTGCGTGCTGTAAGGGTATTCTTTGTGTCTGTGAAACACACACACACCCGCATACACACTCAGTTGGGCATCCTTTCCTCTACCTTTGCATGCAAAGTGTCTTGTTTGCATGCTCAATAGTCCCTTCCCTCCCAGACCCAGACCTGCAGTCAAATAAAGGCCTCCACAACAAGCTGCTCTCTTACATTAAAACAGATGGCTTAACACAAATCGACTCCCAGTCTGTGCGTTAATTATTGCACCAGAGTTCTATTAATACACTTCCCTTAGTGAAAGGTACCCAGGGAGACTGCTGCGTTTTTTTTTTTTTTTATATATGTCAAATGAAATATGCACTTGTGCTGCATTTCTGTTATAATCATCTTTCATAGGCAGCTCAAGTGCCCACGCAAATCAGGCTGCCTGATAAGAGTCTGTGTTTACTCAGGCAAATGGATAATCTTATCAATTATGAATAAGCTCTCTTTCTGAACTCAGTGTCATTTATTTTATTCAGAGATAAACAGACTGTGGCTGTTTTCACTGGGAAACAATAATTATATACATAACAGCTCACGAGGCTGCTTACAGTAATGGAATCTCTATACATTACTGTCATTTGACATTAATCAGAGGCGTTTCATGTTCAAAAGGGTTCCAGTGGGAGCCCGCAGTACTGTGGCCTAGTTTGGTTGGTTTTCTTGAACATGATTGACAGCGTTTTGTGTATTTTCTCCTTTAAACACCATTCAGGAAGCGCTTTGCATATGAAGCGAGGATGAAAATTCTGCCGACTTTGTATTGACCACAAATACTTCTAAGAACCTCTCCCTCAGTGAAAAAGAGTGGCGGGCGAGGCATAATAGATTTAGAGGAAAATGGACTTAATATCGGTGTGTTCATTTGTTTACAGGCTACACTGCAGCCACAGACTCGATGTCTGCGATGTGGGGACATGCTGGAGTGGTCAGATGAGCACAGGTGGGTGTGTGTGTGTGTGTGTGGTTATGTAGGGGTGTGTGTATTTAGAGGTCGAAGACAATACAAACAGACAAGCCTATTCCCTTCACGTTGAGTTATTTAGGCAGCACAGTCATCATGACATCTGGCAGAAGCTCTCATCCCAAACAAATTGCAATGCCATTCAGTATTCGAGATGGAGAAGTCTCCATCGGATCAACTGGAAATAGACAATCAAAAGCAGCCAGATCAGCCCAGAGATGAGAGGGAGGTGTCACAGGATGTTTTCTCATTCAAATATTCAAGACAGTTGATCAGGATTTCCTATAGAACAAATTGTCTGATGTTAAATGTTCAGAACAAAAACAAATAGTTGCATTCTAAATGAAGCTAAATATGAACATGAATGATGCCACATGGGTTAATTTATACAATATGTAGAATTTTAAACTAAAATATCTCAATTAATAAAAAAATATATTTTGTTGTTGTTGAGTACTTGCATTACCTCAAATATTTCCAAAGCAAGAGTTATCAAAGCCAGAGAAATCTGTAGTTTTATAGTTGCAATGGGACGTGTCTTGTCGATGGGGCCACCATGACAGACACAACATGTGTATCGTTGCCGTGGAAACACCCGATGTTACATCAAAGACTGCTACTGAAAGCTACCGTACTGTTGCTGTATGTGCTGCTGTGATAAAAGCGTCATATAAATTATACTCGGATACATCGTCGCTAAACATATTCTCTTCCTCAGATCTGTTTCACCCGTTAGTATTGACTACGGCAGAGTTTGTTTCCATCGGGGGTGGGGGTAGAGAAGCAGAGAGAGAGAATCACTCCACTGATTCCTTGCCAGCCTCGATGTCATCTTTTTGTTACTGTTATGAGAGAACCCTGGTGGATGAACTTACATATTGTCAATTAAAACTAAAGCTTTTGTTCTGTTTCTATAAAATATGCACACTGAAACATCGTAAAGCTTTGAACGTGTGTGGTAATATTAGAGCATTGTCTAATTAGTGGTAAGATAAAGTTATAGTACTGTAATGCTACATCCAGCTTACGGACTCTGTCAGATCCTTGCCCTAGATCCTGGCTAAAATTGCTACCAATCTTTCTTTTAATTGTCTGTTTGTGTGGCACTTGTTGTGGACTCATGTACAGTGTCCTTGGGTCCCTGTAAAGGGGCTACTGGTAGTTCTCAAAGGAGGATCCAGGGACTGTCAGGAGGCCTTTAGGGGGTTCCAGGAGATAAAAAGCAAATAATTGTCACTATAGTACCAATAATTATTAACACAATGACAGAATTTTAAAGGGGACATATTATGAAAAATCTACTTTTACAGTGTTTCTGAACATATATTTGGGTAACCTGAGTGTCTACCGACCCACAAAATGTGAAATAAACCCATCCAGTCCTTTGTTTGTGGTCCGCATAAGTCAGAGAAAAATGCTCTGTTTTAAATGTACTCTTCTTGTGACATCACTCCCCTGGTATCTCCACCCATGGACTCCACCCCCAGCCTAGAGCAAAACTTTTGCTGAGGTCTGCCATTTTTATTCATTATTTATTATTTATATATATTTTAGGAGGGATGTCTACTGGGAAAACTCGGTGGGCTCATTGCATTTAAAGAGACACACACACCAAAACAGAGTGTTCTGAGAGAGCTGGTTTATACAGGGTCACAAACCTCCTCTGGTGCTCGATTCATTTTATATTTTGACCAAAGCACAGCACAGATGTTTCATTTAGACCACTGGGGACTGTTTAAGGGATTTTTGTCTTGGGTTTTATATACTTTCAGGAAAGCAACATAAAAGGGGATTGGGACAAAACTGGTGGTTTAGTTTGCATCAGTTTAGAGATCCATGATGTGAAAAGGTTAGACAGGCCATGTTGTTTGATGAGTATCGTAGAAAATGTATGAAACAGAATATATAGGATATGGCACAGAAATAAAAAAGATCTTAGGATAATTAGAACAACAATCATGATGAAAAATATAAATTGTGAGAATAAATGGTTTAAAAAAAGTTTTGAAAGAAATGCAAATGTTTGGGAAGTAATTTAGACCAAAATAGGATTTGCATGTCCATGAGGAATCTTTGCGAGTCTTTATTTTCAGGAGTTTTGATCCAACGTGTTGATCCAAAAAGTTTTTTGATAATACTTTGAGAAGCTTTTGAACCCCACATAAAACCACCCAAAAACACATCCACAGTAAACTGTTTGGCAGTAAAATGTAGGAGATTATTGCAGTAGGTTAAATAAAGCACTGAGTTGATGCTTACAGGAGAGATTATACCTCTATATTTAGATCAAACCCCTCTATTTGCTCTAGAAAGTTGAACAGTTTTAAGAGTTTTAAGAGAATCACACAGTGTTGCACCTTTCTGCAATTGGGGGCAAATAGAATTGCAGGATATTTATGAGTAATTTTTTTTGTCACTGGGCAAAAAAACATTACCTGCATCCTGGGTGATCAAATGGTACGTGTATGGATCTGTCACTTATCTTTAACATTTTCAGAGGATACAGAGAGGTCCAATTGTCAAAGATGCCTTGGGTGATGTTCTCCACATAAGATCTCAAAAAGGCTCCATTCCGAAACCAGATTTATATATATATCACAAAGATCACAGATCTGGCAGGGGGTATTATTGGATTTTCAGGCACCTACATACAGTGAGAGATGCAAAGAAGTGAGATTATATCCTTTCACTGATCGGCTTCAAGGGGGAAATTTGGATTTTAGATTTCTCAGGGTCCAATCTTGTCTGTTTACAGATATATCTTTATCCTTCAAAGATTCAGTGTGTAATCGTTTGGACATTGCCTGTATCTTGGATGACTACAGATACATTTGGACATATCAACACATTGCATGGTACCATATTTTATTCATTAAGTCTAGTGTTAGTGTAAGTAGAAAGGACTGTTTGATACATTACTCATCTCAATTCAATGCATGTTTTTCTCAGTGTCCTGCTGGGCTGCTCCTGCTGCTCCACAGTGGATGAAACACTAGAGAACGTCGCCAGAGGCCTGGCCGGCAGGATAAAGAGAGAGAAGAGCCACTGGGCAGCTGGAAGAGTGGGTGACATTGACTTCACTGGCTCTCCTAAGACCAGAGGAAAGGTGAAACATGAAAACTCATAATGCTGAAGGCTGTGGAAAGATCTTTTTTTTTTTTCACACTGACATCAATGTGTCTTTTTTTTTAATCCAGTTTTTGAGGGTCCGCAGCAACACAGACCCAGTGCTGATCTATCAGATGCTAACAGAGGAGTGGGGCCTTGCTCCTCCTCACCTGGTGGTGGCGCTGGTGGGAGGAGATGAGCTGGCTCAGATGAAGCCCTGGCTCAGGGACACTCTGAGGAAGGGGCTTGTGAAGGCTGCCCAGAGTACAGGTTGGGAAATAAACAGTGATATGGTGTTTTCACACATGTCCTGAGGTATTTGGGGAAAGAGAGAGTTTGGAATGAAATGCAGGAAAGGAGCCACAAGTCAGACTTAAACCCGGACTGCCCGCTTTGAGCCTCTGTACAAAACTAACTGCAAGGCCACCTTTTACCATGCCTTTCCTGGAATTTTCCTACCAGCCGACTGAGCTGATGTGTGAACACAGCTTGTAGAATTCAGGAAAGTTCATTGCGAGTAAGCAGGCAGCAGTGATATTGTTTTAATCACGCAGGCGACTGGTGTGATCGTCATGCATGCAGCTACTAAATACTCTTGCTACTTGCAAGTATGATCTTTGCAACTCATTCATTGATACTCTCAATATGTCCATTAACACATGAACACGTCATGAAGGCAAAAGCTGTCATCATAGCGTCAGACTGTCAGTTCCATATCCACCATTTCATCGCCTTTTTTGTAATGCTGCGTCCTGCCACCTGAGACCCCCCCCCCCCCCCTTCATTTTTCCTCGACATTTTCAGGAGTGTATAAGTGAAAAGAGCTACAGAGAATGGTTTTAGAATTTACCGATATTGGCTGGTAACAGAAGCATATGAGGAAAGCTCTTTTTATAGATGAAAGGAATCCAAATAAGAGTCGTGAATTATTCATTTTTTTTCTATATGTGTTTTAATTGAATGATAAGTCAAATATTTTCATGAATTTAAATGCACAAAAGGATGACTTCCACAGAATGCTTTATATAAGGCCATAACCTACTTATGATAATCAATAGGCAAGCTGTTTATGTTGAATCCTCTTAGTTCCAATCACAAAGTGCACATAAAACCGTCTAGCACATTTACACACTTGAAACTGCCTCTCTGTTCTCCTAGGGGCATGGATTTTGACTAATGGTTTCCGCTTTGGCATCACCAAGCATTTGGGCCAGGCAGTGAGAGATCACTCCTTGGCCAGCACCTCGTCTAAAGTTCGTGTCGTGGCCATTGGCATCGCACCCTGGAACATGATCCACAACCGAGAGGCGCTTCTCTCTGCCAAGGTTTCTGTCCATGAACACGCAATATAGAGCTAATAGAACAGCAGCAAAGCATCCATGAGCACATCACAATAATGTTTTCCTACTGTGCTTTGTCTTTCTGCATCCCTGTAGGTGGATGAGCCTGCAGTATACAAGCCCCAGGATTTGCCTCATGGGTCGGTGTATTCCCTGGATAACAACCACTCTCACTTTGTGCTGGTGGAGGAGGACCCCAACCGACCAGGAGCCACCAGTGAGATGAGGGTGAAGCTGCTCAAACACATCTCTCTTCAGCGCACAGGTTATGGAGGTAAAGCTGCTCGATGCAAAAATGGAGCAAGACTTAATGTACTGTTAGTTATTTAAAATGTACATAAATATAAAAAATTGAAATGTTCATGTTCATGGTGTTTAATCATGCATCAGGATGCATTAAGAGTTATGTTTATCGTGGGATTGTTTGTGGTCCAAATGGCTTGCTGTCAATTCGTATTTAAACATCACACACGTGCAATTGTCAAAAATGAGTATTGCTCAGGACTCTATGAAACTGGCAAAGTATCGGGATCCATTCAGAAACACAATGCATCAGCATGCTATAGTGTTCACAGACTCGACACACGGAGGATATGCAACATTAAAATTTGATCCCCATTCTCGCATTTGCAAAGGGTTATTAAGCATTTATTTCTAATATGATGGTTCCCAACCACAGGCTGTATCATTAAAGTGGATCTAGCCCTCAAAGCATCACTCATCGGACAGTGAAGCCCCCTTTAAAGCTTTGAATATGATAATTCCACTTTTGCAATGTTTGAGTTTTGGAGCTATGAGTGACGCAATTTGGAAGTCATAGTGGAAAGCCATTTGCTTATTCTGATACAGTGTAAACAGCATGTATACCACTAGTGGCCACTTTTACAGCAAAGGCCATTTCTAAATTAGACCATTATTTACAGAATGGACATCATGCTGCATTGTGGAGGACTTTAAACTATAGCGATCCAGACTAAAAACTCTTTAAAAAAAGATGCTTCCGAAAGAAATAAATCAAATGAGAATTTGGTCGGCTTTCTTTGTGAATTATACAATCAGGTTATTTTTGGAATCGGTTGAGTCGCCCCTGCTGGTCATGAAAAACAATGCATATTTAAAGCACCTGAGCATTGGCTTCACTTTAGTTACACTTCAGGAACACTATGTACCCTTCTCGTAAACAGTTAATGTTTGTAACCAAGGTGGTGGAACCTTCTAAGAGATAACAAGACAAATATGTAAAGTGTTGTGATAATCAATAGGAGGAAAAGATGCTTTGTAAATTCTTATTATTTTTTTAACTCTTATTATTTCCTGTGCTTGACCTGTTGCTTCTCCAAAACAAGTAAAACAAATCTTAGAAGGGAACATGACTACAGCTTACCTGCTTACAACTACCTGTGGGGGAAAAAAACTTATATAATATTTAATAAAAGAATATTAATAATATAAAGTGTGATGAGATAATACCAAAGAGTGGCTTTGATTTGAGGCAATCTGAAATGCAAATATTACTATAAATGAACCTGTTGGTGCTTGCAGGCGCAGGCAGTTTTGAGATCCCTGTGCTGTGTCTCTTGGTCCATGGGGAACCCAGGATCCTAAAGGTACGTTTCCTTTCACTCTGCTTTGTTAGTGACTCAAGAACTCTGGAGACATGACCGCAAAGAGACCTTTTCTAAAACCTGAGAAGTTAATGTGCAAAAATCTGACTCTGAGGAGTAGCTTGGGTTTGAGAATTATACTCCGAATCAAATTTGGGTTCTGCTGCCTCCTGAAGTTGTGGGGCCAAAAACAAGCCTGAGAAACAAATCATTTCTGTCCTCACAAAGCTAATCTGTTTGGCTGGAAAGGCTGACAAAGCCACCAATCTATGTGCATAAACAGAGCCGTAACTATGATCACAGAATACAGCTCACACTGATCAATATAAATCTCTGTTTGGGTTTGGCTGCAGAGTTATTCAGTGAAAATGAGGATGTTTGTGAGTTTGCCTGCCAGTCTGAACACCGTGTCCCCTCTCTGCAGAGGATGTATAAAGGCATTGGCAATTCGACACCATGGCTGATCCTGGCAGGCTCAGGAGGCGTGGCTGACATCCTCGTCACGCTGATGAATAGGGGCTGCTGGGATACGGACAGTGTTCATGAGCTGCTGCTGGACACCTTTCCAAATGCCCACCATCGCACAGACATCAGTAACTGGGTCAAGCTGGTGAGAGAGATGTGCACAGCATGGCGTCATGGACAGACACACACACATACACACACACACAGATACGCACATCACAAGTCTTGAGCGGTTCCAGGAAAATGGGGCACAGTGGGAAATGTTGTGAGGGGAGCTAATGTGGGATTTTCATCCTTATCTTTAAAATTTGTATTTGACCTAATTAAGAATATGAAGGAGGAGGGGAAGTTACCAATAATGCATCCTGCTTTCAAGCTGACATTCACAGTTAGGGGATTGCAATTTCAGTAAACAATGCATTAGCGATAGAATAAAAGCAGCTCATTACTGAACGGAAGGGAGGTTTGAGTAATAACTGACTGTCAACCTGCCAATCAGATCCAGAAGATTCTTGATCATGGTCACCTCCTCACAGTCCACGACCCGGAGCAGGAGAGCTCCGAGCTGGATACGGTCATCCTCAAAGCTCTAGTCAAGGGTAAAGTACCTCAAGAGTGTGTTATCAAGAAAACTTGCAATTTTCTCAGGCTGTACAATTACAGGTTTTGAGGCTTGACAGTTGCACAGAGCGATAGAGTCTTGACATTTTAAGCTCTTCATAGATTGTGAACCTTTTGACATTTTGTATGGTGTGTGCTTGTTTGTGTCCTTGTGTGTATAAATCAGCGTGTAAGAGCCAAAGTCAAGAAGCTCAAGACTTCCTGGATGAATTGAAGCTGGCTGTGGCCTGGAACAGGGTGGACATTGCCAAGAGTGACATCTTTAATGGAGACGTGGAGTGGAAGGTGAGACGAATAACAGAGGCTTTGTCTGCTCTTAGCTTGTTCGATTTGCAAGTCTGAACTAAAGTCCTGATAACACACTTACTGGATCATTTATGTAAAGGTCTTTTGATAAGAACATGTGTGTGCCGCACCCAATTTAACATTTAAAAATGTTTTATTTTATATTTTTTGAAGGTAATGTATCACTTATTTTCTTTTGTCGGCCCTGGGAGGGGTCAGCTTCTTTAAATTCAAGTAGGGGGGGGCTCCAAGGAACCATTGGTTTAAGGGAAAGTAGCTTAACCTTCAAATTCCAACTGTTCATGTGAAAAACAGGAGATCACCCAAGTAAAATTTGTCATAGACCCAGTAAGAGAGACATTTCAGTCCCATGGAATAACTGCCTGACATCTCCAGAGCGTTGCAAAAAAATATATTTTGTGTTCGCATTCTTTAAGTTTTGATCTTGTTAGCTTACATTTTTTTTCAATAAATATGAGGGACACACTGACATGTTAGACATTAAGTATCAAAAACAGAAGTGGCAAGCCAGAAAAGAACTTAACAGAGAAGAAAAGAACCTGCCAGATTCAAAAACCCTTAACTTTTAAGGACAACAGAGCTTTGCATTATGACCCATTGTCACTAATAAACATGATTATTTCAGGCATGCGACCTTGAGGAGGTGATGATGGATGCGCTGATCAACGACAAACCCGACTTTGTGCGTCTATTTGTGGACAACGGCGTGAACCTGGGCGAGTTCCTCACTTACGGTCGCCTGCAGGAGCTTTACTGGTCGGTGTCAGAGAAGAGCCTCCTTCACAACCTGCTCCTTAAAAAGTACGAGGAGAAGCAGCTTCTTCTGGGTGCTGCCAGGTCGCCTGGTCTACCTGTGCACCACCCGCCTGAGCAAGGTGAGCGGAAACCTCGCTTCACCCTCTTCGAGGTCGCCAAAGTGCTGAAAGACTTTCTCCACGACTCCTGCAAAGGCTTTTACCAGAAGATGCCAACGGTAAGTAATATACTTTGTCTCAAAGTCTTCAGCAGATCATGTTTCACTGAACAAGAAGTCCTTTCGAATAATGAAAATAATTAAAAAGTGTCTTTTCCCAGGAACTCATCTTTTTGGCTTCTGACACTTTAAAATTAAGAAATGTCTGTCTCTGACTCCTTGTCAGAGTTTGCATATTAGTTCTGACCAGAGAGTCATTTTAATTTCTAAATGTCTTTGACAGTGTCGTTTAAAACTCTTAGAGGCCTGACACATGCAATTAAATAGATTGTACCTTTTCAAATGTGGGGCCGTGGGCCTAATGTGGCCCTTTGATGATCTCAATTGGGCCCTTTGATAGTTCAGCAAAGAAAAAAAAACTATTTTAGAGGGCATACTTATTGACTCAATTTGATGGGCCTCAGTGCAAAAAACTGCAGCTCTGTCCACTTGAGGGTTGCTCCAAGAGACAGAGAATTCACATACACTCACAAATGCCCATTTTACAGGAGAAATTAACATGTTTACAGCCTAGTAAAAGAAAACGATATTGCTCTGATTAGTTTTTTTTATAGCCTATCCGTTTTGATTTTATGAACGAGTTGTGCATGGTCAGGCGCGATGGGCAGGAGACGAGGTGTAGAGGTTTGTCAGGAGGCTTAAAACCGGCCTCAGCTCCATCTCATATTCTGTCGTTAGGTTCTCTGAAAGTAAGGCTGAGTCAGGATTTCCCGCAATGCGGCTGCCGCCAATGAGCCTCCAGAGCCCCCTGCAGAAACAGAAGGGTGACATCACTCAGGCTTCGTCCATTAATATTTACAGTCTATGGTTTCTCTGCTGTAGTTTTTAAGTTAGTTTTTCATGAGTTGGTCTGAGAACAAATGACTCCAATGTCAATCTATATTTGTTATATATCTTATTTTATCTGAGGCTAAAATAACAACAGAAAATACATTATGTTGAGGAAGAACTAAAGACCATGTCATGATACCCTTTAGAGAATAAAACCAGCTCGTACCCTGTTTGCACTACTTCTTTAACACATGTGTTGTGCTGTCTCTATGCTCCCAGGAGAAGCCACCAAAAGGTCGGCTGTTCCACACGCAGAAGAACCTGGCAGAGTTAGAGGAGAGCTCCGAACATCCTTGGAGGGATCTGTTCCTCTGGGCTGTCCTGCAGAACCGACAGCAGATGGCCAACTACTTCTGGGCTATGGTCAGTCTTGTCAGCTTCTTTTGTCAGTTCAGCTCCAGCTCCTTCAACCTCAGCTCTGTGTGGTTCAAATCAATAAAAGTCTAAATGTGCCTTGAATTGGAAAAAAAAAAAAGTGGAGAAACCAAACAGAAGCGAGCTGAATTTATTCTGTGAGGGGTTTGTATTCTGGACCCATTGTGAGTAAGAGTGGTGTGGGCCAGCGCAGTGCAGGTGCAGGTCACTCCTGCCATATGAAAATGTTGCTGTAGATAAAAAGAAAACAGCAAACGGCATATTTATCAAGCACTGAGGTGAACTAGAAAGCAATCTTATCTCATAGAACATTATTCAAATCAAGGTTATGCCCATTTAAAGGCAGTACACTGAGATGGTACAAGTCTTGAGGAATATAAATGAAAACGCTCTATGAATAGTTTAAATGACACCAATCAATGTAATTACTGTTTTTCAACATCGCTATCATTTCTATATTTCTCTGCCCAAGACTATGAGAGCCAATTATCGTACTCTCACAGCGGTCACCCGGATGTGTTCCACTACCGCGTCTTATCTCAAACATTATCTAAAATTATGCTAATTGCATTCAGTGTTTGTACATCTCCCTCTGCAAATCATTCCACCACTCACACTCTGGCCGCCAGATCTGTGTTCGTAATTTGACTGTTTGAAGCATCATTCACGTTGAAGGCATCATCATAATTATCCTCGCAGGCTCTCTAAAAGCTGAGAGAGCCCGGATTAGATATGTGCATTCATATGAACCAAGGAATAATCATAAACAGTGCAATGTAAAAGTATCATCGATCATCTAAATAAATAAAGAGGCATCAAGTCCAAAACACTGAGTGGAACTTCAAAGAAGAGCCCTGCGATTTTAATATCGTCCTATATATACACACACGTTAGTCCTGAAGAAGAAATGTTGAATGGGATGATTGCTTTTGACTGTCTGACTTTAGATGAAATTACAATACATACGCTACCATACACATAAAGCATTCTAAAGCCTTAAGGCTCAAATGTACTTAATCCTACCACGCATACTCGCAAACACAACCGGTTAAGTCGTAAACTTATACATACATGTTGACATACTTGCCTATGTACAGTGCGTGTTACTGGAGGATTCCTCTAGAGGAAGTCCCACATAAATCAGATGGCATAAAACACTGAAGTATAGAAGTCACCAGCTATTTTGGCATGCACGTTTGTTTGGCACTAACACAGCATAGTCCAGGTAGTTTTAATATAATAGATCAGACTTGATCAGCAAAAAAATATATATAAATCTATATTTTAGATTCTGTGTCCATATAAATAGTGTTACCTTAGTTCTATTTATGTTCATTTTATAAGAAAACAATCTATAATTCAAACATTTGTTCAGGAAGATAGTAAAACTGCTGCCCAGCCTTTGTCAAAAGTTAAAGAAAATCTCCTCTCATTACCTTCTAACATCATGGTTAACGTCACATCTCATTTATTTAATCTGTACAACACTGTAAGTTATAAACAGTATGTTGAGGTTTTACTGGGTGTTTTCACTGAGCTGATTCTTTGTTAGGAGGTTACTGTTTCTTCGTGCAGAGTCTTTGGCCACCTGTGTATTTCATTCCCAGTCATGCAAAGCTAAGCTAACCACAAACTGGCTCCAGTATCATATTGCATGCACTGATATGAGAGTGCTAGCTCTCTCATTGCTCTTCACAGAAAACCAGTGATCACATTTACCTAAATGTCAGGTTCAGACAGTCATTGCTTTTTTTATTGTTATTTAAACCAAAAAGCATAGACGGTGATGCATATTTTTTAGATCAATCTTCACTTTCAATCACATCATGTAACGTAGCGTGAAGCCACTAAGGACTTGATGTTCTCTGTGAATCATCTCAACTCTGTTATGAATAGAGTTAACATTCATAGAGCATTAAAATTAGCTGGAAATCATAGCCTGGAAGAAAGGAAAACTAAAGGCATGTTTCTGAACATTTCAGCAGAAAATTAAGTACGAGTGAATTAGAGTAAATGGACAAAATAATGCAAAAACACTGTTACAGTACAACCTTTGAGAATAGCTTTCTCTATCTCGATATAATGCCAACGCATGCTGTATCCAAAGCAAGGCTGCATGGGTGCTATGTGTCGACATGCATAAAGAGATGCAATCCCAAAATGCAAAATATTGTGCTTGTACTTTCTATCACATGCAAACTAATTGCCAGCCATTTTAGTCGACATGACAGCAGCTACAACATCGAGCACTTGAATTATTCATCACATGTAAATATAATTGTAAATTACATGGAGAAAAATATCAAACTGAGGCCCGTCGAGACACTCGTTGGATTTCCAGGTGATAATAATTGCAGTCTGATACACACAGTACTCCCCATTAAGAAGCAGAAGAATACTCAGATCCCTCTGTCAGACCCACATCTTGGATCCATCTTTCTTTTAATCCTTCAGGGCCCTGAGGCGGTTGCGGCAGCGCTGGCGGGTTGTAAGATTCTGAAAGAGATGGCGCGACTGGAATCAGAGGCTGAGTCTGCACGGAGTATGAAGGAGGCCAAGTATGAGCAGTTTGCCCTTGGTGAGTACACAAACTGTTCAGCAACAAAAGCTGACAGCGTAATCAGAAAAATAAAGGTCAAATATTGCGTGAGGTACATTCAGTGCGCTCGACAATGCAACAACACAAATGCTTACAAATGCCAATGGAAGGGAATAAAATATAAATCCGGACGTGCAAGTTTTTCAATGGAGCTGAGTGTCTGACACTGTGTACCTACTGCTCCCATTGTGGCAGATCTCTTCGGAGAGTGTTACTCCAACAGTGAAGACAGGGCTTATGCTTTGTTAGTGAGAAGAACACACTGCTGGAGCAAATCTACTGTGCTAAACTTGGCAACAGAGGCGGATGCCAAATCCTTCTTTGCCCACGATGGAGTTCAGGTAACAAGTAGACACATCCATACGCCATCCACACACATCCATTTTATTTAAATTTGACCTTTTCTATTAGCTTTTGTAAAGTATTTAACTTTTACCCAACAGCATCAGAGTTTTATGCATTTAATTATTCAAGTTAAAACATTTATTTTGCTGCCTTCTGTACAGGAATACTGATTTACCCTGCGGTTATTTCAAACTTTAGCCTTTGCTTTTTTTCAAAGTCACTTTTTATTTTGTCAGCTCACTGGACTCAATTCAGTGCACAATTTTTGCCTAAACATCCAGCCGAACGTCCTTGTCATTACAAAGTCATGATTGAAAGTTAATTGGTATGCAGTGTCAGCAGGGAAAGTTTGCACGCCAAAAAAAAAAAAAAAAACTCTTCACAGTGAGGTAATATTTTATTTAAAGTGCACAGTTGGAGTAATATATCCTTTTTTTAATGGGACACTGTTCATTGAAATTCAGTGCACATGCAGTGTTTGGAGGGGATGTGGATTTTATTGGCCAGTTTTACTGACAAAAGGCTGGACAAGCTGAGCATCAGGTGTCCCCTTCATGTAAGTGACCTCATAAGAAACTCACTGAGAGAGCTGTGGAGAAGGAAATAACTCATGTCAAATAAAAGTGATTTACAAGAAGGGACAACTTGCATTTTTTTTTCTATGAACCAACTTGACTGACTTTGGTCATGAAGCTCTAATGTATATCATCCCAAAAATAATTGTAAGGCAGAAATATCCTAAGACCTATTGTGCCCTCTTGTGGTGAACTCTGTTATGAAACCAGGTCTGATATAAACTTTACATAACTTTGACTGTGACAGGCTCTGCTCACTAAGATCTGGTGGGGGGCGATGAAGACGGACACGGCCATCTCCAAACTTGTGGTGTCTTTTTTCTTTCCACCACTCATCTGGACCAACCTCATAAAGTTCAGGTGATCAATCTGCTGTTGCCACCAATCATTCAACCTAGCCTTGAAGCAGTACTGTGTGTGTGTGTGTGTGTGTGTGTGTGTGTGTGTGTGTGTGTGTGTGTGTGTGTGTGTGTGTGTGTGTGTGTGTGTGTGTGTGTGTGCGCGCGCATCTTTTTTGTGTGCATTGATCCTCTTGTATATGTCTCTGTGTTTTGTAGCGATGAGGAACTTGACAATCGTAGTGGCCGTGAGCAGTTTGCAGAGCTGGACAGCATGGATACAGAAAAGGCTTTACTGCTTACTGATGACGACGATGCTTTGTGAGTTCAAAACAAAGTTTTATTCTGGGAAATAATAGTCCAGTTCATCCTGAAGTAACCTGAACTGAAGTCACTACTTTAGGCATGGCTTTAGTTATTTTACTGCGAGATGTTTCTCTTCTTCCTCTCATTATTTCCCTCTTTAATTGAGCAGGATGTCATGACTCTACGTTTATCAACAAGGGAAGCTGCATTTGATCCAGCTGTAATTCAGCTAAAGGATAAAAGTCATCTTAACTGCACTGACTTACATTTTAATTTCAACGTTATTATCCCCAGGGGGAATTTGTCTGCAGCAGTGTGAGACGTAGGACAACCAGTATTGGACAAAAATACAATAAAACAAATTAAAAATATATCAGGATAAGGTAACATGTTAGAATTCACCACACAAGTTCACATAATGGACATCATTAAAATAACATGATGCCATCATGTCCCTACTAAGATGATTAATATTGTCTGAACATTTCATGGTTTTTAAAATAAAACATGTATCTACCTTTATTTAGCTATAAATATCCTAGTTAATTGTGTTTTGTCTGTAAAAGGAGGTCAGGGAGAACTTAAGGGTCTCTTTATTTTGCAGGGACTCTTCCCCCGGCGGTCCAGCAGCTCAGAGCTGTGCCTCTGTCTGGTGGCGTTTCTTGCTGCGCCGTTGGCGTCGCTTCTGGAGCGCTCCTGTCACCGTCTTCCTGGGTAACGTCATCATGTACTTCGCCTTCCTCTGCCTCTTCACCTACGTGCTCCTGCTGGATTTCCGTCGACCTCCGCCGTATGGACCTGGACCTGCCGAAATTATGCTCTACTTCTGGGTGTTCACCTTGGTGCTTGAGGAACTTCGACAGGTATTCAGTCAGATTATACTGTAATTATGGACACGGGTTAAGTTCTCGGATCATGATGTAGTTATTATAATCTATATGCAGTTTGGCTCTTATTCTAAAGCACTGCCATCACCATGAAATGTGTTTGCGTGACAGCGTCCAGGCCTGACAAGTTAGACATCTCTGAGTAGGAGGGGATGTGAATCGCTTCAATGAGCTCAATCTCCCTGAGGTTTTAAGGATTCATGAGCCTTTCACCTCTCTGCCTGACTCCCTTCTAGTGAGCCCGGTCAGACAAGCATGATCCTTTATTTCACTGATCCCGCTGAGCCTCCCTCCCTTAGGCACAAAAGCCCCAGATGAGACGAGCCTTCACCGCTGTTCCCTCCTCTCGTTTCTTTCAATGTGCATCTCAGAAAGACCCCCGAGCTGAACAGAGCTATGGCGCAGGTTTCCAAAAACAGAACCTCTCTGCTACAGGCAACCCTGGCATGCTACCAAGCCCTGGGGTGCATCCCTCCCCCCTGAGGGGAGGCAGTGCCACGGGGAACCCTGTTAATTCTTGTCACAGAACAAGGTTAGAGACTGTGGGTTAGTGAGCTCTTTAAATCTGATCGATGTGATCGAAGTGTGAGTCTGCTCAATCCCAAAACATTGTGACAGCCAATGTGCTCTCACATGAACTGGTTTTGGCTGGTTGACAATGAGTACACACCTCTAATATATATTTACCTCTAACATCAACAGACCCTGCAGATGCAGGTTGACTATTTTTAACCCTTTACATTGTTGCATAGAGTATATTACTGCAGAACATTTGTATGTATCCCTATAAGATATTTGACATTATTAGGGCCTTAACTTTAATATAAACAGAATGTTTCACTATCTCTTGTTAAGCCAACATCAGTTCATCTTTTAAAGTCAGATATTTCATATCTGTTAACCTTACGTCTTAGGATTGCCCCGGGCTGCCCATGTCGAGGACTACAGCCTCTGTACATTGGCAGTGCACTCTAACCACTAGGCCACCAGCGCCCCCACCTTTTACCTAAATTGTGTTTTTTGTTTCAGCTCTATTGATAAAATAACTATGCCCTAAAATGACCAGACACCATCAGCAGTGCTTCAGATAAAAAAAAGAGAGTCCTATCCTGCTTTGATTGAAATCAAATATTACAGAAAATAAACAAAACAGTCACTTTCAAGGATTTTTTTCAACAAGGGAGAAGATCTTGTTTTTCTTGATAAGATTTTTTTTTTTTTCGATAGAAAACGTGATTGCTGTGCTCTGGTGTGAGATGAACTATGAAACTGGGAGAAAGTCTTGTAAGAACCAGTATTATGACAGACAACTAAACAGGTGTATACCTCATCAATTTGAGATTTTATATACTACCCAGATTTATCTATTTGCAGTGAAAGTAAAAAGATCTGAAATGAAAAGTTCCAGTAGGTATTTATAGATGCAGCAGTTCTTATAATAACCTATTTAAGTAGCCTTTGTCACGACCCCACTCGTGTGGGGAAAGGCAGGAAACATAAAAACCAGATGGTGTTGGTAAATTAAAGCTATTTAGTACAAAAGAAGTAAAATTGTGACACAACAACAAAAAGGTGCAGCAAACTAAAAGAACCAATGGGTGCGAGTCAAATCAATAACAAAGTAAACCAGAGGGCATCTACAGTTTTAATGACTGACTTTCTAATGGGTGAAATAAGAAAGAAACATAAAACCTACCTAACTACACTTACCAACCAAACCAAACAGCACCGTGCCTCTAAACTAAACAGATTCTAAAGTGAGTGTTTGTTTACTGAACAAAGCTAAAATCTGACTCGGTCCAAACAGAAAACGAGTGCCTCCCATCACAGAAGAGACAAGTTCTTTTAAGAACATCTTACAAACATAGACGAAGACAACGAGAAGCACAGTAGTGAGCTGGAAACGAAAGAAGCTGCGCCCAGACTGCTGGCAGACCAAGCTTCTTAAAGCAGTGTCAGAAGGTGCTGTCCTCTGATTGGTTCATTGTTTCAGTGCTTCTGTGCACCAATCAAGCTTCATAAGCAGCAGCAGCAGCAGCAGCAGCAAAGGTGGACGAAATCAGGCCAGAGGATGCACTCGCCAACACACACACACAAACAACCGCACACACAGGCACTCCAAAACAGATCAGAGGTCGCTCACACAAACAGGAGAGGGGGGGTGCCGGTGCGGCTGTAACAACCTTGCAGACTACTTTCAGAGAACTATATGATCCCAAATGGAAGTTGCAGGGTACCCATGCAAAATAATGTGATTTGGATTTTTCCCCAGTCCACCTTCCTGTCCATTTGGCTGATGCTATGGCTTTTAGGAAGCCTGAACGTTATAGTTGAAGGTAATTGGTTGTAATGTTGACCTTTGTAGCATGACAGTCAAGGCTTAAACTCCAGTCTATCACTTTCTGAAAGCCGAACACTGCCCTCAGGTTGTTCTCAAACCAATTATGCCGTCCGGGACCGAGCCCTGGTTTTTGATGCATTTAAAGGTTCACTGTTCAACCCACAGGAGACAGCTCAACCTTACACTCCAAGTGTGACAGACATTTTACAGGATTGAGAATTGGGGACAGTGCAGCTGCTTCTGAGGCAGCAAAGGCTGAGTGCCAACTAGCTATTCCCTTCTGGCCCTGCAGGTGTGCCTGAATTGGGCTCCCTGTATAAAATATTACACAGATCTCTCTCTCCCTCTCTCTCTCTCTCTCTCTCTCACACACACACACACACACACACACACACACACACACACACACACACACTGTGTTCATACATATCATTTCAAAAAGTTTTTTGAAGCCGCATTTATCCATAAAGCACCTTGAACTATTCAGGGTGTGAAAACATTCAGACATGAAAAGGCAGATTTGTTGTGGCACACATTCTAAATTTAGACCGACTTTTTTGCTTGCAGTGTAAATTATATAACAAACTCAGGCTTTGAGCCAATTGCAGAGATGTACATTTCCAAGAAAATGTATGAAAGATAAAGCATTTTACTTATAAATGTTTCAAAATAACTTTCAACTAGTGCCTGATACGACTAAGCACGTAGAATCTGTTAAAAAAATAATGTTGGAAATTTCAACATCAATAATTGTCACGTCAGATTTTTGAAAACAAAAAAAGAGATGCTTGAGAAATGTCTGAATGCGTCTCAATTAACTAAATCTTCAATATCCTTAAACAATTTAGAAAAAATAAAATCATAGTGCAACGCGTCAATTCTTTTTTTGATCCCCAGAGCTTCTTCACAGATGAGGACATGAGCATCTTAAAGAAGTTCAGGCTCTATGTGGAGGACAACTGGAACAAGTGCGACATGGTGGCCATCTCGCTCTTTGTTGTTGGGGTTTCATGCAGGTAACTTACATTAAATGACGCTCAAACACTGAAAAAAAAACACCAGTGGGACTTCTCTAGATTTGTTTTCCTGATAATCTAGGTTACAGCATTAGAGAATTGATCAAGGCTATTCAATAATGTTCATACTCTTTGATTTGCAGGATGGTGGATGGCACGTATGAGGCAGGAAGAACAGTCCTCGCAATAGACTTCATGGTGTTTACTCTGCGTCTGATCCACATCTTTGCGATTAATAAGCAGCTAGCCCAAAGATCATCATTGTGGAAAGAATGGTGACTGACACAAAATATTATCTGTATTACGACAAAATGTAATTGATGTTCAAGATCATACATGCAGACAGTGCAGCCTAAACATTTCTCTGTTTCTATTTCACAGATGAAGGATGTTTTCTTCTTCCTCTTCTTCCTGACTGTTTGGATGATTGCATACGGAGTTGCCACCCAGGCTCTCCTCCACCCCAATGACCCTCGTATTGACTGGGTGTTTCGCAGAGCCTTGTACCGTCCTTACCTGCACATCTTTGGCCAGATCCCCCTGGAGGAAATAGACTGTAAATTAAAGCAGATTTCAGAATTCTATATTTATGGCAACTTTTGAAAATGAGTGTTCAAGCATGAAAAAGCACTTTTGTGTTATATTTGGATCATTTGTGCAATCAGGGATGGCTCTCTGTTGACCTGAATGTGATGTCTTCTAAACTAATGTTGTTGTTCTTTTGTTAAACGGAGCACAGCTGCTCGCATGCCTGACATGAACTGCACCAATGACTCTGAAGAGATTATCCTGGGCCTACGGCCGCCATGTCCCAACGTTTACGCCAACTGGCTGGTCATCCTGCTGCTGGTTATCTTCCTTCTTGTCACCAATGTGCTGCTGATGAACTTGCTCATTGCCATGTTCAGGTTAGAGAAATCCAGGAAACATGTGTCTAAATGTTTGTCCATCTGAAAATATGAATTTGGCGTGTGGCTTTTTCAACAAAGAAATACACCAGTTGTTTTTTTCTTCGTGACAGCTACACATTTCAGGTGGTTCAGGGCAACACGGACATCTTCTGGAAGTTCCAGAGATACAACCTGATTGTTGAATACCACAGCCGTCCAGCACTGGCCCCACCCTTCATCATCATCAGCCACCTCTCTCAAGGCCTCCTCAGCCTGATCAAACGGCCCGAGTCCAAGCAGGAGCTTCTTGGTATAAATTTGATGCATATTTTCATTAAAAAGTTATTAAGGCCTTCTACCTGACGTCTAGCAGATATTAAACTAGTTTCTGTAGCGAGTGGGGCTAAATTAAAATTAAATGAAATACGGGGGAAAAAAACAGACTGTGTGCTTATCTCTGTCCTTCACCTGCTCTCTCCATGAAATTGCCTGCTGGTTAATTGGTAATTGGACTGCTTCCCTCTGTGTGTGTGTGCGATTCTGTGCGTGTGTGCGATTCTGTGTGTGCGTGTGTGTGTGTGTTTTAACAGAGAGGGAGCTGCCGGCAGGGCTCGACCAGAGGCTGATCACATGGGAGACGGTTCAGAAAGAGAACTACTTGGCCAAACTCGAGCGGCAGCACTGGGAGAGCAGTGAGGAGAGACTCAAGAGCACCTCCTCCAAGTACATGTTACTCTAAAACTTTATAATAACTGTCATTCTGATGAATAATGACGAGCCACATTTTTTCACAAAAAAAAAAGATCTGATAGAACCACTGGACACAACCTGCCAAGCACTACAGTTTTTCTATGAACCTTTTCTGCCCCCTTGTGGTAAAAACGTGGCATTGCGTCAGTAAATATGGCTTTAATAGATTCTTTTTTGTTTTATGTGAATAAGGGTTCAGAGCCTGCTGAGGATTGTTGGTGGGTTCAAAGACCAGGAGAAACGAATGGTATCCATGGAGTCTCAGGTAAATCTGGAATAGTGACTCTTTATGGAACCATTTGGGTTGCATTTTTAAAGCCTGTTATACATGAAACAGTCTGACAAACAGTTCGTTGTGGCTTTGTCTGCAGGTCAAATATTGTGGAGAGGTGTTGTCCTGGATGGCAGAGTGTTTCGCTCAAAGCACGCTCAAGTGCGGGAAGGACGCTCCAAAAGCTCCAAGTGAGACAAAATGAATTACAGGAGAGAGTGACTCGTAATTGATGATTCTTTTTGGAGCCGTATTAGTACAGTGTGATTACACTCTTTCTCTGGTGTGTTTACTTTTGATCTGATGTAATATTAATATGGTTTGAAATGTCAGTGTCTCTCACAGGCTACACAGCGAGCGGCGGTAACGATGCTCCTCAAAGTCCACAGGAGAAAGACGCCAAACAAGAAGGAGGAAGAGAAGTCCGACCGGGTCACCCAGGATATGGAGCTAACAAAAAATTCCCATACATTGATGAATAAAAAAACATGCTGAGAGAGCTTATGATTATACAATATGAAAATTATTGAGATTATTTGGAGGTTTAATGTTGGTTTAATTTAAGGAGCAAGGACACTGATTTGTTTTGGACTTGAATTTTTAAATTCATTAAATGATTATAAATCTGTGTGCTGATGTCGGTCTTGTTTATTACCTCTGTTCCTTCTTCAGCTAGACACAACTTTACGAAATAATAACCACAATATTAACTTAGATATTTAAGGACACATTGTTAACCTGCTGATGAACCAACCTTTCAACAATTCATAACATTGGGCGCCCTATGGCCTGGCGCTTGTGTCACGTGCAGCATGTGTGGAGGCAATAGTCCACGTCGCAGCGTACGAGGGTTCAAGTCCGACCTTGACCCTTTGCTGGACGTCTTCCCCCACTCTCTTCTCCCATTATTTCCTGTCTCTCTACAGCTGTCCTATCCAGTTGCGGAAAAATGGCCTAAAATAAATAGGACTTTAAACACTGCATGACGTTAACTTCAATATAACTGATTAGACAGCTAGATGTTCCTTTGTAAACTTGATCAAATAAATGATGTTTTAACCCAGAATTGTAATAACTAATAACTATGTCTTTTTTCATTATTATAGGTTCTTATATGATTGACTCCGTCTGGATATCTTGTGAATAAATATATATGATGTACCTGAAACTCAAGACATGATATAGCAAAATGAAATCCTTACATTAGTAAAAATAAAAGTGAAAATAGTATTGAGCATGAAACTAATAATCATACAATCTTTAAGATCTTCTTTAGGTAAGGTTATTAGAAACAGCAAGGCTTAACTCACATTTGGGAAGAGGCGGAGTCTCTCTTAACTGCCAAACCTTAACCGGAAACATGACAGGCTTTCTCCTACTAGTAAATAATAATCAGTTAAACCTCTCTGCAGGTAAACACCACCTTAGTGGAATCCTAGATATATAATATACATTCATTTATAAGTAAATAAACTCCTCAAAAAAAAGTTTGGAAATGTTATTTCAGTCAATTAATTCGCCCCTTTACAAATACTAATTGGTGTTGTATTATATTTCGTTGGAAAGCCTGATTAGTCACCTTTATAACGAGGTATAACTTCTAATGAGCGTGCATTTGTGGAATGAGCAACACAGCTAAACGTGAAGTTAGCGCCCAAAAAACTAAATGATTCACTAAATCATTAAAGGAGAGTAATTAAGATATACATTTCTGTCTTTCTTTCATTATTTTTCTTTGTTTGAAATAAAACAATAATTAACATCTGGTTCCAGTTAAAGAAGCCTGACACTCTCCCTGGTGAGTAAATTTCCCTCTCAGCTTTTCTCCCTTGACAATTAGGGTGGTGTCAGGGCCTGCAAGGCTCCGTAGAGGGGCAGGACCCAGGCTACATCAATGGTTGAAATAACTAAAATAGACGCCCGGGTGGGTAGCGCACCCCCCCGTAAACTTCTTTCAAATATGATTAGAAGGAGAACTCCACAGAGATTGTTACTTTTTTGACATGTTCATTTTATTAGGTATGAGATGTCTTTTTCAGACCCAACATGTCACCTGACTCACAAATTCCAACTGTGGCCCACCACAAAAAAAATCCCCCACAAATCAGGATTTCTTCCTTAAGGCTTAGCGTAATCTGTTTCCCCTTTCATTGCTTTTATGCTCGTCTCTAAATATTATCTATCACGGTCAAAAACATCACAGGGTATCTTTAGCTTTTGCAGTAATATTCAGTTGGGAGGCAGCAGGTGCACATCTTAAACTTGTCATGTTAAGCTGATTAAATATTGACTATTTACACTACTTGAACATATGAGGCTAGTTAGTACCAGGTCGTTACATACATCTCTAAATGAATGAAAGGAATGTACTGATTGATTTATTCATAGAAATAAGTCAAATTAACATTCATAGTATGTATACAAATAAATAACTGACAAATTGTGGTGTCCCAATTTGAAAGGGGTCTGATGAGCAGTTTTACACTAGACGTCCATCACTCTGACTGTCCATCACTCTGACTGTCCATCACTCTGACTGTCCATCACTCTGACTGTCCATCACTCTGACTGTACATCACTCTGACTGTCCATCACTCTGACTGTCCATCACTCTGACTGTACATCACTCTGACTGTACATCACTCTGACTGTCCATCACTCTGACTGTCCATCACTCTGACTGTCCCTCACTCTGACTGTCCATCACTCTGACTGTCCATCACTCTGATTGTCCATCACTCTGACTGTCCATCACTCTGACTGTACATCACTCTGACTGTCCCTCACTCTGACTGTCCCTCACTCTGACTGTCCCTCACTCTGACTGTCCATCACTCTGACTGTCCAGTGTTTTGTCAGTACTGTACTGACGTCTTGGTATGATGATCCAGTAGATAAGAGTTTGATTTTAGTCCCTCACACTGAGGCCTCAGGGCCTCTCGGCTGCACCGCTGGTCCCTCACGGTGCATATTGTCAAAACGCGGTGTCACCTCACAGCGGATAAGTAAAGTATCATCTTTGATAAAGGCTCTCTGATTCAGCTGATGCAGGTGCAAAAAGGTGACGTAGCCAAAGCCTTTGGGGTTACGATGGATGGCGGGCTTCTGGAAGGCTTGCAGGTCTGGTTTGGTTTCCATCACCTCCGTGTGGTGCTGACCCTCAGGGCCCTGGTCCAGGATGGCAAGGCGGATGGTGCCCTGAAAAGGCCAGGTCAGCTGCCCGTCATAAGCTCCTTGCATGGTGTGGACAAAGAGCGAGATAAAATTGGAGCAGCGCGGGGCATTGGGGGTCTGCAGGTGTAGTCGCAGGCACAGCTTGTAGCCTGGGCGGCCCGTGTAGAAGCCGGGGCTGTGCTCCACCACCGCCTGGCCGGCCTCTTGGTTACGCAGGTGGGTGGAGAAACCTTTGAGACGCCAAATGAAGATGCCATGACACTGGTGGGCTTCCAGCTCCTTCACCGTCTCCTCCAGCATTGACACTCTGCGTCTGAGCTCTGCTAACTGGCCGGCCTGTGGAAGAGGTGAGACAATAGTTTTCAGTTACTTATACCACATCTTTAGAGGAGGTGAAGCGATAACAGAAACAAGCGGAACAGCAGCCGCTTCAATGCTCTTTCTTTGAATTGGATCCATTCAGGCACAGCAGTGAGGGGAGGTCACTTGAATAATGCTTCAGGGAGTATTATCAAGAGAATAGTGCAGGTATAACATGAGCTGTAGGGTCTGAGCAGATAGCAGTGTCTCTACTTCGTAAGGTGACCTTCAGTGTTTTGAAAGGCGTCTTTAAATAAAATGTATTATTGTTACTATAAAATAGAAGTGGATCTGTTTGTCAGAAGGAAGATAAACAGACCATTGTAAAACACTTCTGCGATGCCTCTCAAATTGACACAACTGAAGAGCAAAAGTTCAATACCTGTGCTCAAACAGGTTGAGGTATCTGCATTGAAGAATTGGGCAAAGAAATTGAGACCTATTAAGCGGAACAAAAAGTCGCTCTATCATCAGATGGAGGAATGGTTGTACTTGAGCTATATTTTTCAACAGAGCAAATTTTACATCTTGTTCAGGGTCTAACAAACAAAAGACAGAAAATATAGAGGTATTCCCTTGGGCATGCTTATTTGGTTTGCCTTTTAAAGCAACAAACTGCTGCATGCAATCCGTTGAAGTGCCGAGTGAGTAGAAAATGAAAACTTACATTTCTGCTTTGGCTGATAAATATGACAGACATCAAAGGTGTGTAGTGAGATGTATTATAAAGGAGAAAAGAATGATCACATACTGTACGTTCTTTAAAGTACTCATACTTTGAAGCTCAAAGACATCCTTTACCTGTGTTTCTTTTAAGATGATGAGCTCACGCAGCTGGTGGTCCTGCTTCACCAGTCGTCCGTCCATGTCCCTGATCCTCTGCATCTCCTCGCTAGGCTGACTTGGGGCGCTGTTGTTGCTGCTGCAGCTCGCGGCTCCTCTTGGACCACTACAGGCCGATACTGACGCTGCAGCTCCTTGCTCCTCGGGGGACACGGAAGGTCCTAGCGACCACAGGGATTTAGGAGAGGTACCATTGAGGGTGACGCCTCGGAGGAAGTCGGCCATGAAGCGCATATGCATCTGTGTGAACTCCTGCATGTGCTGGGCCAGGTTGTGGCGCTGCATCTACGGAGGCAAAAACAAAAACAAAAAAATTCTAAGTGACATTCGGTCTGCGGAGCTGATGGGACACATAATCGTGAAACAAGACAAGTTTTCAAGGATTGTTCTCCTGTGTTTATAAAAAAAAAAAGTTTTGCGTTTTATCACCTACCCGCTCCTTACATCCAAAGGCGCTGAAGTTACAGGCGATGGGTGCTTTGGGACAATCTGTGTCACAATGAGATTCCATCTATAAAACACAAACAACATCAGCTTCGCTTCTTTGTCCAATCAAAGAATATCAACAACCATTTCAACAGGTCAGTTTTGCTGGTGCTGCACTGGGGCTTTGTTTGTGCCAATTCTCTTCTCTCTGTATCTGCTCCCACTGGCTCTTGGTCCTGACATTAGGGAGCCTGACATCGCCTTCCACCTTTTTTTTTTCCCCCGGTGCAGGGTGATGTCAGGCTTTGATCTTTAAAGCCTTTCTTTTTGGCTTTCTTCTCTTTTGCAGCCCGCTGTTTGGAGAGTTCTGTCATCCTTTATCAAAACATATATTTAAAAGAAACAAGGGATGTTTTTTGATTCTACATTTCAATTTGATTGACAGATAAACTCCATGCTAAGATGCTGCTTTTCCAACTGTGTGAACCCTTTCTTATCACCCCAAGATTCCCACAAAGTAATGCATGCTGTTATTAACATCAACATTGACTACTGTAACTTCTTTAAAATCATGCATGAGTTTTAAAATAGCCCATTGGGTTTCCTTTTGTTTATGGCTGCAGAATCACTTTGCTTAGCTCTCTTGTGCTGTAGACATAAAGTTGACTTGACTGTTATACTTGTGGACTGGCAAAACCAGGGAAACAACTCACTTGTTTTCCCACAATTAACTTCCTGTCTCATTCGACACATATACAACACTCGCTGTTGGATAAATGGTCTGTGCAGACACACACTGTGACACGCACAGTTTGAATCTGTTCCCTTTTTTTTTTAATAACTAAAGGAGAAGTTCATGTTGACAGAAGTTAGCTTAAACCATTTTCAGTGAGAAAAATGTATTTCCTAGAGGCAGACATCACTTCACTCACCTGGTCTCTGATCAGATCCATCCCACAGTACTGACACTTCACAATGGCAAAGGGACACTGGTGTTCATGAAGCTGAAGGAGCAACCAAAACCAGAAAATAATGAGACAAAACCCCATTGTTACAAACAATGCAGCTGCTGGAGTTTTCTATGACTGCAAGTCTTCTGGGAAAAAAAGGCAGCAGAATCAGTTCCATTATTGAGACAACATTACCTCTCTCTCCTCGTAAACAAAGCTTGCAACACAATCTGGACAGGACACAGGTCTCCTTTGGCACTCGACAGTTTTGTGCTCCTCTAGGTGGCTCTTTCTCACAGACTGCTGGCACTGTGGGCACGGCTCGGTGGCAAACTGACAATGCACCAAATGATTCTGGGGGTAAAACAATATATCCAGTCAGTGCAGTTAGTTCACTCTGTAGGACAGCATGGGTTCAAATGTAACAACTTCATTATCCATAACAACAGCAAACAGTACGAGGACGTGTCGGAACAGCAAGCAGGAAGAGTCTGTGCTGTGTACGGTGAGGTAGACAGGGAAGGTTTTACTTGTCAGTATCTTTATCCTGAGGCTGTTATTTTTATTGTTAGGTAAAAACAGAACTAATACAAAAAAAAACATGAAGCACAAACTGCTGCAGGAATCTCAATATGCACTAAGCTATAGCAGACCTCTTTGCTTATTTTCAGATTTTGATGCTCTGCTGTGATTGATTTACAACAAATAATCACAGCTACATGTTCATATACATTTCAGGTCAATACAAATATGCCTAAGGAATGACACTCCTGCAAATACTATTCAGATGTCCCGCTTCCCAAGACCGTTCTAAATTCTTAATGAGCAACATTACTATCCTGTATTCGTGATCTTGATTGTTCTATATTCAAAATTAAAAGATGTCCATCACTCTAAAATTCTTACCTCTAAATGTCTGAGCTCCATTTTGTCAGCACAGCCAGAGTTGGGACAGCGCACAGTTAGCGATAGGATCTCTCGTTTGGCAAAGTTATCAGGAAAGAGCTGTTCTTCTGACAACGCTTCATTGTCAACAGGGCACCTCTGTCCGGTATCGCTGTAAAACAAGAGGAAGTACAATCTTTTAGGCTGAGCATTAGGACTATCAGGTTCTGCATGGGGCTCTATGTAAACATTGCATCATTTAGATACAAAACATACTTGTTTATGATTCCATTACTACTCAGTCATTTGACAGATTGCACTTTAGGCATGAAGGACAAACAACCCCTATGAGAATCTACCATGAAACTGGTGCTAACAAACGCATGATAGCTTACCGAATGGACTTCTCAATGCAGTTCTTGCAGAATCGATGACCACAGGGTGTTTGAATGGCATTCCTCAAAGCCATGAGGCAGATAGGGCACTCATATTTACTCTCTAGGGGCGGGTCAAACTCCACGTCGTAGCCCTGGACGGGGTCAGCACCCTGAAGACTGGTGGAGTTGCTGCTGATAAATGTGCCCGGGCTCTCCGAAGGGCTGAGAAGGGACTCGCGTTCTTTTTCCATCATTGCCAACGCGCAGCTGGACACCTCTCCACCAACAGCTCCGTCATAGCTGACCTCCTCCAAACTTCCCTTATTACTGTCAAAGCAAGCCATCTGTGCAGGGCGGGATAACGGCAGGCATTCAAAGGATTAGAGTCGCAAAAACAATTATAGCAAAAACAAAGTGTTTGGTGAACAATCATTCATTTCCCCAAATTTGTCGTTAGCAATTAGAGATGGGACCGATCCCATCTTATATCGGTATCGTGGTCCGATATTGACGCCATTTACGGGTCGGAGATCAGGCTGACGGCGGCAATCCATGTCACTGATTGAGAAAAGATTGCTGGGTGCTCAAAACATTCTCAAATTGCGGACTCGCTTTGAAGGCATTCCGACTGAACTGTAAGACGTGACCAAAAATCATCATCAACATCAAGAGACATTCACATCGGTACATAACACATGTATAAGAATCGGCTCGGAACTGAAAGAAATTGGATCGGTGCATCTGTATTAGAGATACTTTCCCTCTCTTAAAGCAGTTGGTCAACACTGAAGAAATCTCAGCCAAGTGCTTTCTATAAGAAATCTGAAAAAGTTTGCCATGTCTTGGGTTGGTATAAAAAAAAAGTGATAATATCATGTTGGTAAGTGGAATTAAAAAAACACAGGTATCTACAGGAGTCATTTCACCCAATCGAGTCTATAACTTCCTCCCTTCAGCTAACAATGTTGTCAACTTCCTACCTCCTTTTAAAAAGACATAAAGAGAAGCCTACAAAAAAAAGCACTTATCCTAAGACACCAGCAATACACAAGAGTACACATTACAGTTGGCGCAAACAGCAATACCTTAAGGGCAATAGTTATCATGGTTACTGAATAATCGATATCTCGGGTAATTGATTACACACTTGCTATTTAAATATTTTCAGAAGTGTCAAAATTGCGATCACAAAAATCCTAATGCCAAGGTGATGTCTTCAAATTGCTGTCCCCCCTCTGTCTGTCTTTTACTGTCACATACAACAAATAAATGCAGACACCTTTTTTTGTGTCTTAAATGCTTAGTTGGCGGTCAAAATAGCTTCATTTTCAGCTTCAGAATAAATGTCACATGTACTAGTTATCCTGCAGAATGCCAATTGATCTCTTTGTTTGATGGGATCAGTGGGAAAATAAAGCTTCTGTGTCGGTTTTGTTTGACCTTGATATAAAGTCCATTAAGACCACTCCCATACGCTTGCACTTAGTTTGACATACTTTTTTTTTAAGTGTCCTTCTGGTAGGTCCTTTCAAAAAATAAACACACTTATTCAACTATATAAAACAGTTAATAGTGCGGCTACATTCATTACACAGCTTATAACGAGTAACCACATCTATAACTCATATCTCAGTTCAACTGAGGAGTCGGAACTAACTTCTCAACCATTAGTTTACATGGCTTAGAAGACTAAGGTCCTCGCAAACCAAGTGCTACCTTTGCCAACACTGAGCAACAATATAATAAAATACAATTTAAAGCTTGCCTGCAAGTACAATAAACAGGGTTGACAATGGTGTCTCTTGATGAAGAACAAGTCATGCTACCTGATGCGGAACTGCAACTTTGCAACCCTGACTATGCAACAGAGAGAAAATAAAAGGACTTAAAAGGAAGATACTGACCAAAACAGCGAGTAAGACAACAAGCCTCTTCGTCGGCAACACCGATATTAAAATACTGATTACAGCTGAGAAAGCGGGTACCTTTTCTTTCTTTTTATGTAACACTTGCCTTCGCTTTCAAAACGTCTCCAGATAATTTCCTGTTTTACTTTACAAACGTCATCCATCATGTTCCTGTTTGAGTGTTGCTCGGTGCGGCGGGACGTGAGCGCCCCCTGTCGGACGTGCGCGCCCCCCCTCCTCCTCCTCCTCCCGGACGTGCGCGCCCCCTGCCGGGCCGGAGTGCTGCTGGTAACGAGTCACCACCACACACAGAGCAAAAAAAAAATTGAGACAGGAAAAAATAAAAATGGCGGACCTCAGGAAAATCTGTCCTGAGTTTTTGCCCTGTCGTGTCAACTATTCGCGCAAAACGTCATTTCAGGGGAAGCTCTTCATCCTTCTCTGTGTGCTGATAGTGGACTCCGGCGGAGCCACGACCCACTGGGTTGTCACGGAGGACGGAAAGATTCAACAACAAGTATGACAAGTCAACGTTTAGCTCATCGACCTGCTAACGCTAACGTCAGGGTGCTAAGCGCGTAAAAAAAAAAGCTTTTTATTCAGCATTAAACGGTGACACTTACGAACGTGGTTCATGTATTTGAACCTAACACGAGCAGTTTGCCAGCTTTTGTAACGTCGAATAAAGCGACAAGACAACGGGAGATATTCGCTTTGTTTGTCTTCAGTGTGTTAGCTTGTACGAGCTACCTGTGAACTGACGCTGTCTGTAGGTGTTCGAGGTCAACACGACCAAAAGTGTTTCAGTCCCATGACAACAGTCGCGTTGGCAACTGCGTCTTAAATTGTTGCCGATAACGAAATGATGTGCGGGTTACCACCAACACTGCTTCTTGTGTTTTAAAGAGAAAAGGCTGTGTTACTGTGTTAGGCTGAGTTTGCACGTCTGATATGAGATTTGCATGGACAGCGTTTCTCCACCACCAACGTACTGCAGCAGCAGCAGCAGTAGTCCTGTCCCAAGTTTAGATTAAGTCTCTTGACTGTTTTTGTTTGTGTCACACTGTTGTTGTTTTTTTTTTCAGGTTGACTCACCATTGAATCTGAAGCATCCTCACGATGTTGTGATATTCATGAGGCAAGAGACTCGTGTGAACTACCTCAAGAAGCTTGAGGTGTGTAGTAATCATTGTCATGTGTGCCGAAAATGTGCTTCACCTTGGGTCCTCAATGTCGTTAATCTTTGTAAAGATATACATTAGATAGATTGCCTAATGTATTTATTGTCAGCTGGTGTTTCTTTGTTCTTTTTTTTTTGCTTGTTACTGATTTTTTTTTTTAATATCCTCTTGTTTATTGTTGAATAGAAACAGCTAGTGGCACAGAAGATTCACATCGAGGAGAATGAGGACAGAGACACAGGGCTGGAGCAGAGACACTACAAAGAAGATGCAGACTGCGTTATGGCCAAGGTACCCCTGGGAGACCTTGACCTTTATGATGGGACTTATATTTCTTTGGAAAGCAAAGATATCAGGTGAGCTCTCTTCAGTAAAATGTCGTCCATACTGTGTTTTTTTTTCTTTAATTGGTTAAGGCACCAAAGCCAAACTCTGGAGATGTTGTTTGATAAATAAAAAAAAAAACTTGAATGATCGTGTCTAGTGTTCTTACACACAATGACAGAGTTTCTGTCTAAACATGTTTGTATTCTCTTCTCTTGTAGCCCTGAAGAATATATGGATTTCCGAACAGCTCTGCCCCCAGATCTAGAAAAACCTGACTGTGCAAAAATATTTGAACTACCTTATAGTATTCATGCTTTCCAGCATCTCAGGGTGAGTGAAGGCCAAACTGTCCGACATTTTGTAAAGAATTGGAGTTCTTATGAAATGTAGTTATATGATGTATATTATGTAGTGAGGCTTTTATTATGTAACTTTGAAACTGTAGGCACTTCAGGAAAAAAACAAGGAAACGGATATTTCTGAATTACATTTTAACATACTTCTTACATCCTGTTTGAATGTATTTAACCTTTTCCAGACATGCGTGATTAAGTAATGACATGGAGTAATGTGGCTGGTTTCGATGTAATTTGGGGAATCCTGCCCAGAGTTCACGACTTCTGTTTCTGATTCAAATTCACAAGAGTCTAGCCAACGACACTGGAAGATTGTCGATATAACTTCTATCTTGTAGGAGTTACTTGCTCTATTCTGCTAAACTTTGGGCCTAGTTGGTCCTTTTTAAAATTCTAACTCAGTTCTTTAGAAACAACAGTATTTTTTTCTGTCCATCAAATGATGCAGATTAAGTAGGACTATTCCAAATAAACCACTTCATGTGATGACAATTTATGTTTTTGTTGAAAGCAACTGCAAAGAGCTTTCAGTAACTTTAAGTTCAGATAACCACACTAAACATATTAAGACACTATTTCCCTTTTGCAAGACATATTTTAAGTGTTTGCATCATTTCAATCTAAGTGCAAATTGATTCCAGTGCATTATAAAATCAACTGTTTTTTTATTTAACAGCTGTAGGCTTTATATCAACAAGAGTGAGAGCTTGTTAAAAGTCACTGTCAATCTAGAAAATGGGATTTTCCACTGTTTAATAATGCCATATAGCTCACGTTTATTCTTCTCAGCTGGGAAGTCCTGTGTTATTTCCCTTTATTTCATCATCATCTGTCTGACTTGAGAAAACGCCTCATTCCAAACAGTCAGAGAAAGTGAAAGTGAAAATAACTGAATTTGACAGTCATATTCTTTTATTGAGTCCCAATGCATACTACGCCTTGGACTGCAGCCGAGCAGGATGAGACCCATAAAATTATGTAAACACCATCCGGTTCCAGATTGGTATAGCCAACTTCAGTGATAGCCACTAGTTGAGCATTCAGAGACAGCAGAGCAGCTTATCCAATTTGGGTGTGCCTTCAGTCTCCAAACGTTCAGCTGAGAGAGAATCTGATTTTATTTCAGTTTAAAATTGTTTGCTTTTAGGGGAGCCAGTAGAGTAGTGGTTAGTGTGCATGCCCCATGTACAGAGGCTGTAGTCCTCCAAGCAGGCGTGGGTTCGAATGCGACCTGTGGCTCCTTTCCTGCACGTCGTTCTCCACTCTCTCTCTCTCTCTTCCTGATATCTGACTCTATCCACTGTCCTATTTTTAAAAGAAAGGCAAAACGCCCAGCAATAAACTTTAACAATAAAATAAATTGTATGTTTATCTCAGTTTATCAATAAGGTTTTTGTATGATATTAAAATATGAAGGCATTTTTGTTCTGTTACTCTTTTCAGAACTGTAATATGTTGCTGTGGAGAAATCCAACATGTTAAGAACAACTTCATATAATCTTGAGTTTGCGTTGCAGTCAGGCATTTTTTTATTTTCTTATCTTCAATCTTAACCTTGGGTACAGACTAAAGGGCAGGGGTAGTTTTATGGGAAAGCAACATTTCATAAAGTTTCTGTTCTGTTTACTGTCGGAGTGTAGAAACCTCAATCGCTCTGCTACTCAAGTGAACCAGCACATCAAAGTTATTTTTATAGAGTCACAGAAACAATCGTAATGTTTACTCTGAGGGTTGGTATGCATTTTACGTGGTACACATAAAACACACTGTACACTGCTCTTATTGTAAGCGTTTGTGTCTGACTCAATGCAAGCTGAAATATCTAGTCAGAATCAGAATCGGGGTTTATCGCCAAGTTCATTTACACATACAAGGAATTTGACTTAGTGTATTGGTGCTTAACAATTAACAGGGACATAAAGCAGAACTAGCAACAACTTAAATAATACAGTATAAGAAGCTATTACAATATATAAGATATAATTTAAAAATATAAATTATAAAAAAATAATACAAAAGGTGCAATGTAGGTGCTGTGCAGTGGACTATGAGAAACAAAATCTAGTAAGTGACTCTTCCTTGCTGTCTCTTGCAGGGTGTGCAGGAGAGAGCAAACTTGACCTCCCCACTGCTTTCTAAGGAGGATCCCATTTTTAGTTCATTGTCTCATAAGCTTGGCCGCAGTGTTGATGAAGTGGGCCATCGCATCCATCAAGAGTTACTCAGGGTAAGGCCTGCCTGTGCAACTTTGTCTCATTGAATATTTAAGACTGTTGTTTCCCTCCCTGCAGATTTTACACAGAAGACACAAAATGTGTTTTAGTAAAAACACTATTGTATTCAATTTCTAGTGTAGGAATGGAAAATGCAAATCTGCTTATGAGGAGCAGACGTAAAATGTATGATTTCATAAATGTGTATTGATCTGTCTTTCTTTCTGTCCGCTTCTGAAAGTCAGTGTAGTGCAGATGGATTAATGACACCAAGATCTGAAGTCGTTATCAGTGTCAGTACCAGCACAGACACATTCAGGGTCTAAGCAGGACAGCCAAATGAAAAGTCTAGGCAAACAAATGATTGTAACTTCTGAAGAGTTTTTAAAGAAGTGTGTGTCTTCATGATCGTGTGTTTCAGAACTCATCATCCTGGGTGCTGTACAACATGGCGGCATTTTACTGGCGTATGAAGAATGAGCCTCAGAGGGCAGTGGACTGTGTGGTGCGTGCTCTGCACTTCTCCCCAAGGTACCGTCACGCTGATCAAACCGCAATGCTCTACACTGTTTGTGTTGAGAGACTGCTCACAGGTGTGCACATTCTCATACTGCGTGCATGTTTGTGTTGTACATGTAGGCAGCACAAGGATGTAGCCCTGGTCAACATGGCCAACATCCTGCACCGTGCCCACTTCTCAGCAGATGCTGCTATTCTCGCCCATGCTGCCCTGGACCTTACCTCAGATCTGTTCACCAGCCACTACACCTTAGGCAACATTTACGCTGTAAGTCAAACAGAAAGCATTCCACTGCACTATTTACACCTTCAACTCTTTTGCATGCACTTCTTATTGAGGTGTGCTATTAAACGTGTGTCTTAAAAGAAAAAATATTAGAAAACAAGACCATTGTTGTTCACCTAGGAAACTATTTTAACGTACATTTATCCAGTGAACTCCAGTATTGATTTAATATAGAGCAATGTCCTCGACTTCCAGTGCAAAGCAGGTATTTGTTTTTGTAAGAAATACATTTCTGATTAAAACCTTGCCAACTAAGCTCCAGTAAGTCCAGTTATTTCTGTGC